GGTGGGTGGGGTTAAACATCGACTCTTCTCAATGACAGCTTTGTTCCATTTCCATTTCTTTCCCCTTTGCCAGCTCTTTGCCAGATGTAAAATGTGATTCTTATTTGATTGAAGTCTGTTTTTTATCAAGTAAAGGAGGGGTTATCTTAATCAGATGGATCAAATTTGTGTTCATTTGATAACTCTTGGTGTAGATTTCCAATCATATTTCACCAGAATTGCTTTCAGTAATCTCAGAGTTGAAATACCTAATTCTGTATTTCAGCATCATGTTGCAATTGTTTAACTTAATGTCCATGTATTTATCGTCCGTCAGTATTTTAACACTCATTGATTCACTACTTAATTTTAATTTTAGTTTAACGTTATACACTTTGACACTACATGTTTCGGCCCCAAACAGCCATCTTCAGGTGTAGCAGTTTTAATATAATTTAATAAATATTTGTAACATATATTACTTTCTGTTTATTTGTAGAGGATACATATGTTGACTACATGAAATCAGACTTATTGTCAGTGGATGAAGAACCACTTCAGAGTGTTGATGTTTCATCAGGATTCAGTTTTGGGAGTGGCTCAGAGGGTACCTGGTTGCTAGGAGATTCAAACGTAAGTTGTCCTTGTTTCTCTGTGGAATATGAACAGCTAGCAGCTGAATATCTTGGTAGTAAAGTAGGAGTAGTGGATTTTAGAGGTTGTGGATCTGGACACAGTCAGATCTCAGAAAGGACACTCATTATCCTAAGATTTTTCTTGCTTTTCTTAGTCTCTTCAAGTAGATGGTAGGATAATATTTCAAACTAGGCCTTAAGTATTAACTTTTTCAATTCATTACTCACCATCGCATGCCGTTCAGTGTTTTACAGTGCGAGGTACTGATAGTATCGTTGAATAAACTGATCTAATATACAAACAATGTTTTGTCAGCTTCAGACTCCAGCTACGGATGTGATGTCTCCTGACTTCTCGGTCATCCTGTCCAACTTTAACTTCTCTGCAGCAACTGCCATGGACAGTGTCACCTCAATGCAAGAAATTTTTGAACTTGATGGAGAATGTAATGTAATTCTACAAGGTCGTATTGGTCAGGTAAATTCCATTAGTAACTTTTGTTCCAGCATCACACTTGTTGACAACAAACATGCTTCATTCTCCTCAACAATTTTCCATCCATTATATATTTCCATACTGATATCAGTGTATGGTGTCTAGCACTTGTGCTTCAAATTTAGGAGCTCCCAGCATCAAATCTTTGCCCAGGTAATTAGATTTTCTTCAGACCATCCAGGAAAATGCAGGGCTGGGGTGTTGAACTATGCTACAACATCTACAGCCCATCTTTCACAGCTGTCCTACCATATGATATAATATTGTAACGTGTTTTAGTTATTGTAGACGCCGTTCAGATTGTTAATTGGTTTATTTAACAACCTACAAATATCGGCTACAATTAATTATAACACAGTTGCAGGGTTTCACAATTTATAACCCTATTCGCAAATCAAATCACTCTATTGTCAGTAGTCTACACGTTTTCACAGTATGGGAACTATACAAGTGTCACTGTGTTACACACTCCCAATTAATTCTCAGTTATCACAAACTGTCACTGATTATCACACACTAACTCATAACTCGCTGCTGGCTAGATTCCAACTCAACTCGTAGGCTGCTGCCTTGAGAACTGTTGATCACACACTAACTCTCGCTTGCTGCTCAGCCGGCTTTTATTCAGTTCGCTGTTGCCTGTTGCCCATGTCAACAGCGGCGTTGCGTTGCGGTGCCACGTCACAGTGGGAGGCTGTGCTACGTCACAGTGTGGGAGGGGGGCTACGTCACCGCAAGGAGGGGGGTGACAGAACGCTGACTCACCCACCACGTCACTGCTGGGGGGGATGGGTTCTCTGTAACGCGCAACATGTCACAATATATTTGGGAAGCTAAAAGCATGTAAACCAAGAATTAGATGTCCTTCAGTGTTATTCCTCTCTTGTTGTCACTGTCACCTCCTTTGAACCATTGCTGCTTCTAGCTGAGTGGAAAGTGCATGAAATCCCTGTTTATTGAATCTTTGGGGCAGTGGCTTTTTTTGCATTAAATTCAGGTTTTCCTTAAATGGAGATTATGCTGCAAAATTGCATCCAGAAATTCTTCGTTTTCATGTTAGAGCTATAGTACAAGTATATAATTACAGATATTAATTTTTTTACATGAGTAGTTAAATAAACTGTTTCTACACAAATAGATAGAGTTACATAATCAGTAATATCAAACAGAATACTTACTGGCATATAGGCCGTGCCGTAGCACAAGCGGTTGGTTAGTCGCTGGCTTCCCACCATGGTGGCCCGGGTTCGATCCCGGGTCTGGTCAAGTGGGATTTGTGGAGGACAAAGTGGCGCTGGGGCAGGTTTTCTCCGAGTACTTCGGTTTCCCCTGCCAATCTTCATTCCACCAATTTCTTCACAATCACCCTCACCTATCATCTAGGGCTGGTACAATAGGCCAGAAGCGGGCGCAGTACAAGGGACTTAGTCCCACCCCACTAGCAATAAAAAAGAAATACTGGCATATAGAACAAACAGAATAGCTGAACAACAAGGACAATTCCTGGCAGAGAGAAAATGTGAATATTGATTATTGTTAAATCAAGGTACAAGTTCTGGAATGTTGAAAATTTCTTGCATCAAATTTGGGTTACTTATGAAATTTAAGTTTGCTAACTATGTGAAAGCAGTATATTGTTTATGGTGGGCTTTGGCTGGAAGCAAGAAACAGTGTTTACTGAATATGAGAAGTGTAACTCAGGATGTCACTGTAGTAAACTTAATGCCCTCCAACCATTGTTGTCAAATTAAAATGTAGTATATAAAGGACATTTAAATTAGCTGGTCTGATAGCATCAGAAACAGTATATAAATGTTGCATCAAAGGGTAAACTCAATTCAGTCATTAGTTCCATAGTTTCCATATTTGGTTTAAAATGTAACTTTTGATTAAGCACCATGCCATGAAATCACCTACTGCTCCACATGTATATAACCTTGCCATCTAGATGGGGATTACTGATCAGCTTCGGACCCTGGCTGCTGTGCCACCAGGAAAGAAGCACCGCTAACCATTTGATAGAACACTGCTTGGGTCCCAGAGACAGTGTGGATGCTATGGAGGAAAAGAAAGAGCTCTACCATTACCAGGAATTGAACCCTGATTCCCTGACCTTCCAGCCCATAGCTTAACCACTATACTGACTGAGTTGTCCCAACTTCCATTAAAAAGAAAATGTGGTAAAGAACAGATGATTGGATCCTCATGTATTCTGCTTATGTGCACAGGGCTTTTATGGTGAAGTGTACAAAGGTACATTGGAGCGTGATAAGGATTTGGAGCCTCAGCTTGTTGCCATAAAGAAGCTGAAGACAAATGCTGTGGAGACAAGCTTGCAGGACTTCGAGAGGGAAATAACTATCATGAAGGTGAATTATTCTTGAAAGTACTGTATTTTCTGCCATGTTCTGCCCCTTTTTGAAGGGGGAAGCAATGTTCAGCTTTAAAATGCATTTTTTTTTGTAACATTTGGTGCAACTGTATTTTTGTCCTCAAATTTGTTTTTATCCGTTGCATTTTTCAATGAAAATTTTGTGTTTAACACCATCACCGCCAGTCCCATCACTTGATGGGTTACAGTTCGCTGCATGGCAATGCCAATTCTCTTGTCTAGTGACAGGCTGTTGCCATTGTGTGTGTATCATTTCTTGATTCAAATGCTACTCAAATGCAGAGGATCTTAAGTATACTTTTTTTTCAAGCCTGAAGGAGCCCTAGTATACAGGAATTTTAGATTCATTCCTTCTCTTCCATTTCTGTTTTAAATGTAATAAGGTCAGAGTCGTATATTTGTCAAAAACTGTTGGCCCAGCAGGTGAATATGTTAAGCAATGGTGATGTAAAATTATCGTTATGCTTAACTAATTAAGCATTATGCCACGAAGATGTGTGGGGAAGTGGATGTATAAAGGCACGTATTCTTGACCTCAGCACTGGTTGGAGGTCAGCTTCACACCCTGCACTTTACCACGAGGGATAGAGCCTCCAGTGCCCATCGGATAGGAAGTTGGGTTGGCCCCATAACCGGTCTGGGCAAAGTGGAGAGGAGAAAAATCTTGCCCCTATCGACACTCAAATTCCAACCCCTCGGCCTTCCAGCCTGTAGCCTTCGCTATACTGACTGGGCTATCCCGGCTCTGTGTTAAGAAATGGTGTATGTAATAATTGTATTATCATAGAATTATAATTTCTTATGCTTTTATCCAGACTTTGAAACATCCAAATATTGTGGAGATCAAAGGTGTGATCGAGGATCCAGAGATCAGTCTTGTGATGGAGTTTGTGCAACATGGCTCTCTCCAGAGCTACCTTAAGATCCACAAAGATACACTTCAGGAGGAGAACCTGCTGAAGTTTGCATTTGATGTTGCCAAGGTATGCCATATATTGTAGCTTCACAAAGTTCCAGGACAGGAAGCTGTATCTTGAATCTGGTTGGACAGAGCATCTCTTAGGTACAGTTGCTTTCAAAATATTGCAGTTCAGTGGCCACATACTTCTGCCAGTATTTATAATGTTGTTTTGAAACATTTCTGGAAGCTGTTTATTCAAAAAATTATTGGTATATTTTATGTATAAATATTGACCAGAAACTTCAATGATTCAACTACATTCTGGGCTCAGCATGAACACCTAAAGGAAATATGATATTGCACCAACATGATACTAGTATTGGAGAAGTGTTACTGAGGCATCCTAACATACAGCCAAAAACTGTCATTGCCACCACTGCTAAGGGAGAAGATGCAGTAGTTCATAAGTGCCCATCCATATGTGGAATTGTTCTCTAAGGTGAACCAAATGGGTTACAAATACATTTTGGAAACTTCAGGAAAATCATTTTGAAAATGTCACTTGTAAATTGAAGATAATTTGTTGCAGGGCATGGAATACTTGGGAAGGAAAAATATTGTGCATCGTGACCTGGCTGCCAGGAACATTCTGGTAGCGAATGAGCATCATGTAAAGATTTCAGATTTCGGTTTAGCTCAGGTCATGGGAAAGAATGGCTACTATATTTTGAAGACAAGCAGAGAATTGCCTATCAAGTGGTAAGAACGACTATGCATACTTTCTGTATCTTTGAAGTATTGTAACTATTAAAATAACGAAACTAATTTCACATGTACAGGAACTATCACCATTTAATCGTTTTGTTTGCTACATCAGGTTAGCTTACATAAAAGGGATGGGCATTCACGAACCTTGCATAGCTGTCATCTACGATGTGTTGTGTAACCTTTTTCTAAGATTAACCCTCTAACAGTCCTGCACTTTGTTTATTGAGGACTTCTCCTGGTCACATGGCTACATGAAATGCAGCTCTCATTAACAAAATATTAATTCAGCTAGAATCTCAGCAAAATACGCAATACGTGAAAGTGTTTTGTCTCTTTCATGGCTCCATTTGTGGGTGGTACTGTTTACTGGCCCCAGTTTGAATAGGTGTCCCTTGAAGTAACAGTATTCTGTGATTAGTCCTGTCAACTATCTCAACTGGTTCCTGTCTACTTCATTCCTCCTAGGATTGCATATTTTCCTGAATACTTAGTTTTTTGTATACTTGAAATTTTTGTTCTTCCCTCAATGCAAGAGACTAATTTTCACAGTCATGGAACAGAGTCTTAGTCATAAACATCATCACCTTGGAGAGGTTCATTGTGAAGTTTCTCCCCAGGGCTTACTGAACTGTATTTGTCAGCACATGAGTAAAGTACTGACAGGATATACATTATTATCCATTTATCATATAATAAAACTGTAATTTGTAATTCTGAAGAACTGCTATCTTTTTTCAGGTATGCACCAGAGAGTCTACGAGATGGGAAGTTTTCACCATGTTCTGATGTATGGTCATATGGTGTGACATTATATGAGATGTTTTCTCTTGGAGAAGACCCGCGTTTACCAGACTGTATTAATGACCAAGATCAGCAAGAGCTGTTGGCAACATTGGAGAGTGGCACTCGCCTTCCGTGCCCACCTCACTGCTCACAGACGATATACGTGAAATTGATGAAGCCTTGCTGGCAGACTGACACACATGCTCGTCCAACGTTTAAACAACTTGCAGAGGAAATTCAAAATCTGAGGTGGTGAACGGTTGTAGTAATATTTGTATATTTGAGGTCCAGGTTGTTTAAATGATCAGGAGCATTGAGTTCCGTTTGATCAGAGTGATTTTGATGAAAGGAGTTCATTGCCCAGCAGAACTCAAATGACTTATGTACAGTGGAAAATTCAGAAGTAGACAGATTGAATGAATGAATGAATGAATGAATGCATGCTCTGTTATGTCTTGCACTGCGACCTTTGGTAGACAGATTTCTGATAGCCCTAACTACATGGACCTTTGTTATAAAATCATTATAGTAGTTAAATATATGACTACAAAGTATAATAATGGTCATTTTTGATACAAATTAAAGATCCATCTGTGGGAAATCTTCCAAATCAATTTTTTTTTGTTATGTTTATTGATTGCTTGTAATCTTAATGGTGCCAAGGGTATGCGGTAGTGCAATGCCAGATGTCATACTTAATTCGTGCCCCTTGCCAGATATTGTTATGGTGATGATTAGATTGAAGAGTACAAGGTGGGCAGTGCATGTAGAATATGTCCCAAAGATAAATGCATACAAAGTTTTGATGGGAAGAACTGAAGGAAAGAAATCGCCTGGAAGACCAGAGATTATAGGAAATTATTGAAATGGATCTTAAAAAAGACAGGATGGGAGGATATGGAATGGATTCATCTGGCTTGGGATATGGTCCAGTGGCAGACTCCTATGTACATAGTAGTCCATGAAATGCAGAGAATTTGACTACCTTAGCATGGTTAGTATCTTGAGTGACTCCATAACACAGTTGCAGTGGAGGAGGAAATGGTGAAGGTTGTACCATTGTTCAGCTGATGTGGTTGCCACAAGAACTTGGGAATCAGCATACATGCCCCCCTCCCCCAGTATGAGGATGAGGCTAATGTTTTGACTGAGATGTGTCAAACTTGGTTGCCAAATCTACTCTTCATTTATTTTCAGCCTGATGATGCATGAAATATGCACAAGACTGTATATTGGGAGTGATTGCATTTTCCAGACGTGTATGTTTTGTGTTCAAATAATTTCGGAAGACACAAGACTGTATATTGGGAGTGATGGCATTTTCCAGACATGTGTATGTTTTGTGTTCAAATAATTTCGGAAGACAGCACAGCAGTTGTATATTAATATCAGTTTTGAGGTTTTACATAAAGTAATGCAGCTATAATTTTAAATAGCAGGCAGGAATACAAAAGTTTCCAAATAGATATCAACTATTTTCCCATAATGCCATAGCTCAGGCTGTCAGCGCTGGCTTTTCACCACAGAGCCTCTGGTTCAATCCCAGATGACTTCTTGTGAGGTTCATGATGAATGAAGTAGCACTGTAAGTTGTTCTGTTCCAAGTTTCTTCAGTTTTGCTGCTAATCACTATTCTGTCATTCCTCTATACTCATTTATCTCTGCCCCTTGAGGTGTGCGACAGTCCTTATCAGGCAGCACATTATCACATCCTTAGTTTTCACTTTGGAGGATTTATCTATTTCTGAAGCCATGTTGTTTTTTATGGAAATTGTAAGATGATGAGAATGAGTATAGATATTAACTTTTCTGCTGCAGAGCTTGCAAAAATGCAAGATGCAGTAGCAGCCAGTTTCTGCACAACTCACTTTACTGTGAGCTCAACTGTTATATTATCCAGGGCAAGCAGGACATGTGTTGACCATATGCAGAAACTTTCACCAGTGTAACAAAATATTGCTTTCTTCCTTCATGTTGTGCAATGTAAGTAGCGTTGTCAAGTGGTAAGGTGTATAAACACACATGGCTTCTTTCAGATGCAAGCAGACTGCAGAAGACTGATTCTGAATATTAGGATGAATTTAATAATAAAGTAAAAAGTAAAGCTATCCCTGTAACCGGCTGTGCAGGCCCATAGGGTTGTAGAACGTTGAGGCTCCCACATTATCTAGACAGTCGGCTCAAACATGGCGGTAAGGTTGTCAGCCTTATGCTCCAGCCGCGCTTTACTCCCCAGGAAAATTATTTAATTAATTCCTGGTACTCATTTCTGTTAGAGGCTGAGTCGACCCCAGGGCGATAGTGCAGCTGGAAGGATTAGGTCAATTAAAAAAATCCAATTACCTCATTGGGACTTGAACCTGCGACAATTCGTAAAAGAAATGTGTTTAAATTAAATTTTTTTCACCTTTATTTAGGCAGTGAAATCACTTTGACCTAACAAAACTTGCATAACAGAAGGGTTAAGTAAAGGGCTGGAATTAGCATCCCCCAGTAATCATGTATACAATGTATGTAGAACTTGATTTTGGATTTGACCACATTGTGCAGTTTATGAACTGTCAGAGATGTTACAGACATAGCATATCTGAAGTTTTTAACTTTTTTAGAAAATTAATGCCTGGAAAATTTCCTCAATGGATATTGCTGGTTCCTCATTATAAATTCAAGACCCATTTGTAAATATAATTTAGAGGAAAAAAATTCATGTTGAAGATGGCTTTGGTTCACATCAGTTAATTTCAGTTCAGTGTAACTCGTCAGAAAATTACCATGCAAATGTAGAAGTAGGTACATAATTCTTATATTCATTGAACATTTCAAAAGATGTATAAAGCAGACTTTTACACATGGAAGCTGTGTGTTGATACAGCATCAAATATTGCTCATTATCACTGTGTTCTTGATATTTCAGAATTCTTGGGCACTGTTATTACTTGACGGATAATGATGGCAAGTCTTGCGCACTACTTGAATCATGTATTTAAAGAAGAAAAAGATGTTGATATTTGTTTGTAGAATGTATCATAGATGTTTATAAAGAATGTTTCTGGTGCTGTAACAAAGAGAAGATAATGAATAGAACTTTAAATACAGTATGATTTATTTCACAAGAGGTAACACTGAACAGGCAATATATGTGCTCAGGTTATGTAGTTTCATCATACGTAAGTAACGAACTCCATGGAGCTGAGTTATTTTTGGGAAACAAGTAAAAACTTCCCGCCATTTTATGGAACCTGAAGGTTCATTACAATGTTCACAAGAGCCCACCACTCGTTTCTGTCCATAGCCAGATGAATCCATTCTGCACCCTCACATCAATTACACATAAACATCTTGAAATTAAACTTTCCATCCTTGCCTTTCATTTCAAAGAGAAAACATCCTCTGTGGTTGATGTGAAAGTATCAAGGATCACGGAATCTTAATAGAGTACTGAAGCATGCAATACATGTATAGGAGGGGTGGGAGAGGCTCACAGATTATGATGTAGGGATTTGACATGGTCTGGTCATGTAACTTGGATGGGAAAACAAGGAATGAATGTAAAAATTTTTGTGGAGAAGGATTCTGGAAGACCAAGGATCTGGGAGTATAATATTAAGATGAATTTTATGGAACTAGATTGTGAGGATTTGAGGATCAGGATTGTGTATAGTGGTGTTGACTATTTGGTTTCTTCTCGTAAAGAGTTCATTGGTTTAATAACGACACTAGCAGCAGCATCAGCAGTAGTAGTAGTGGTCGTGGCAGCAGCACCAGTAATAAAGGTGCATTCTTAATCATAAATAACAATAACAGGGACCACTTTCTTTTTTGTAGAACAAAACTAGTGGTTGTATTAATATGAGGGAAGAATGATTATTGAAATAACCGCAGACAATTGATTGATAAGCTGGCTGCTCCCAATTCATGTCATATTAAGAGGTGCCAAATGTAGTATTTTTTTTCACTTAAGGCTATTGCACATGCAGGCCTACATAAATTCCAAGTGCCAGATTGCCCGAAGTTTTCATGATGGTGCTTAGAGTTTTCTGTTGTATCACAGCTAGTGTATGACGTGTCAAAATTGACAGGCAAAATAATGCCTCCCTTTTTTCATCTTCGTATCTTTGTCTATGTCCTTCTTTTCTCCCTTATTGCTATCCCATCCTTTCTATTCTCCATTCTGTCTTTCCTCAACCTCCCTTTTCTTCCTGCTCATTCCTCTTCTTACATTCCCCTATCCCATTATCTCCTTCCCTCTTATATTCTCTTCCCATTCCTTTTATTTGGCTATCCTGACATCACTCCTCCCCACATTGTAATGGCATTTTGTATTTTCCCTGCACATGGAAGGTACTTATTATTTATATGTATATATTTAATATCATCATTTTTTAATAAATATAAGCTATTTCTCTCCAAAGGTCCCCCCCCCAACCCTATTATTCTGGCTCCTAGTGCACTGGAGGAAGTTCCTATATTTATATGAAATTTATACTTGCCTTCCTGGTCTCTGAAACTATTGTGAAATAAATCAAACTGGTGTAGACAGGAAAATTAAGTGTTCTAGTCTTGTAAGGCCCAGTAGTGCCTGAAATTGTATCCTGTACTCCATCAGTCCTCAGACCAAATCACATGATCATTGAGAAAGCTGTTATGCATTAAGGACTGAGCATGTGATAAGTATTTTTAATATAGCGTACACTCAGCAAGAACTTAACTATGCAGTGCCTATTTCTATGCTAGCAGGCAATTTATTGTAAATTTATTTATGCCAGTAAACAGGTACATTCATATGTCTATATAAGTACTGAACAGTAACCTGCATTACTACTTAAAAAGTTTTTATGCTAGTACTTATTTTCTTTTTTGTATGTGGTAAGAGCACTTTACATCCACAGTGTGATTCAGAAGTCTTAATCTGTAGTCATTTAGTCAAGATCTGTGTTGAACATTTTTACTGTCAGTTCATAAGGTCAAAAATAATTAATTTATTTGTGAGACTTGAGGATCTCATGGCAAGTTTATTGCCTTCTGGAATGGGAAAGCATGTTGTTTGGTTGATGAGTACCAAACTGCACAGTATCTCACCCAGAGGACAGTAATCTTCATATTTAACCATATTCTTAAGAGATTGTTATATTTAAATTGGATGTCCAGTTATTCTTAATATTGTAGTATGGAGCAGGGATTGAGGTCCTATGTATATTTAAAGTGAAACATTTAAATCTGGAAATATTTAGTAACTTTAATAAAGTAACCTCTACTTCTGTTAAATTATGGTAGTTTCCTCTCCTTTCAGATGTTGGTACCATCTAAAAAAGGATCACTAGCATCTTTTAGATAACTTTCACTTTCTCTGCTACTCCCATGCAACCAGTTGAGGCCTGGCCACTATTTAAAATTGTTGTGCCAATACATGTTTACTATTTGTGCCTGGCCTCCATTTATGATTGTGCCAGTACCCGTTTGCTATTTGTGCCTGGCCTATATTTACAATTGTTGTGCCAGTACCCATTTACTATTTGTGCCTCACCCCTATTTACCATTTATGTGCTAATGAGTGGCTACAGTTCAAATTCAGGCTGTTGCTTTAGCCCCAGTATTTAATAAGCCTTTATGATATATAAGATGGTAAATTTTATTCCTTGAAGGTCCACAAGAGATTTTCATGGATGCTGAAAGTTAGTAGATTCCATAATCTTATCTTATCAGAAATTTATGTTAACACAAATTTGGCCCCTTTCATTGATGCTATTCATTATAATAAGTGTTGAAATCTTTAAATATGTCTTTTAGCACAAGAAATCATGATGGTTGTTGTATGTTAGTATTTTTATCTTTAAAACAGTCCTGTTCTTTGAATAGATTTCATGCAGTCCAGCCACTAGAGTTGTTGTAAGGAGATGTATGTATGTATTTTTGTAAATATTGTTGTAGAAAGAAGAAAACAAATTATAATTATCAGCTTATAACAAATTCAAGTTTTAACCATCAATTTGTACAGTCCATTTCATGTAGCTACATAAGCAATATTTTACTTCATTATGTTCTTTTTAACACTTTAAGCAGCCAAACAAGATGTCCAAACTTCATGATCCTTGTGAAGATAAATTTATTTTAAATATCAGCTGTAAATGCAATTATGATATTTGCCTAGTCCATAAAGGTAAAGTTGTCACTGTGCTCACTGAAGCACCACACTATTAAGATATATGGGAAAGTGGAGGTACAGCTCGATGTGTTCTTAACCTCAATACTAGGTAGAACAAGGGCTTAGCTTTACACCCCATCTGTTTTACCCCTCAGGAATGATGCTCAGTAACCACTAGATAGGAGGCTTGGTGGGCCCCAACATATTCACACTGTAGAGAAGAGAAACATCTGTATCCCTGGTGGGAATCAAAGCATTATTCCCCAGGTGTCCAGCCCACAGCCCAGTCACTAACTGACCAATTTTAATTTTCATAATAAAGATCAAGGAAAGGTATGTAGGGAACTCTGTCTTAATATTCAAAAGATAAATTCAATTTGTTAATTTAAAATAAACCAAATTATTGTAATTGCAATGTCTTTTCTAAAATATAATTTTTAATAATGTATGTCAGATCATATTTTCTGAGCAAACCATCCATCCATATGGAAAAGATTGTGATTTTGTTGTAGCGTTCTGTTAGCCGTTCTGCCATACTCAATTCTTGTTATCAAAATGTGTGTAAAGTACTGGGCCATAAAACAAGTGAACAGGGTCCATCACATGTCCAAATGCTGATTAGCAGCACTAATTAAAACTTCTTGCAAGACAATGTCCAATATGTTTATTGTTTTACATTTGAGATATAATTTACATACATGCACAACATAAACAAACTTCATGTAACCAACATTCCACTGACTGGCATACATGTCTGAATAAAATGGGAACGTTACATTAAAATGAAATTTTTATAAAATTTATTGATTTTTTATCATTTCCTCAGCTGACCCATTTCCTGCCTTTGCTTCTGTAAACTGACCATAGGAAGTTCCAAAATTACCGTCTTCCACACATGAAAAGTCTCCAATGTGTGTATCCACTGATTATACTTACTCTTACTTTGATTTCTTATTAATGTGTTTAAACTTTTGGTGAAGACTACAAAATAATTATTTCTATAAAAATATTATGATTAGTAAATGGCTAAAATGAATGGTATTAAAGTTAAATGAATATTTATCTGTGAAAATTAAAGACAGTGAAACCAGAGTAACAAATGCCATCAACCTTGACAACAAAACTGTTGCATAAACCATGGGATACCTCTGCAGCAATGTCATTTTTTGGCAGTCTTTGCAAGTATTAATACTATTTCACTGATCAACAGCATTTAAAACGTTCTTCTGGGCTGTGACTGGTACATACGTACAGACTTTTAAGAGCAACATATTGCCTTAATCTGCATCCATCAGTCCATTCATCCAACCATATATGAATGCAGTACATTCCACCAAAGCTGCATGGTAGCTCAGTTAGTTAGAGCACTGGTTGCCAAGGTAATGGTCTTCAGTAACAGGCATCAGTTTCAACCATCCTGTCTTTTCATTTATTAGTAAGTTCATTCTGCAATAGTAATAAAAAATACAGCTTGCTGTATGGAAGCAATCTTGATATCTATTGCTTCCAGTTAGATAAACTTCAATGTATTCATTGGCTTTGTGGTCCTCACAGCAGTGGTGACTATGAAGCAAGCAGATTTCTGCTTCCCTGCTTCTTATTCGTTTCTTCATCAGCTTGCTCTTAAACCCTGATGCTGAAGGCATTATGTTCCTCCAAAACAATGAGTGACTTCTTCCAGACTACACATCTCATGCCAGAAGGCAAACATCCTTTTAATCTCTCCAATTACATTCTCTGATCTCAACTGTATGCAGATACCAAGGCTTAATAACTTATTCCATTCCACTTTAATAGCTGATAATCAACAACATGTTGTTGGGTAAGTAATCTGATTTACTTGATGTTTATTAAACAACACTGCCAATAATTCAGGCTATGTAATGTTGAATGACTGGGAAGTGAATTATGAATGGGAGTGGTTGTGGCACAATTCATGGCACTATCCTGGCATAAGCTAGGGGGGGGGGAAGCTGAGAAGGACCACAAAAGACCTCAGTCATGATAGCCCACATCCTGGCTAAGACAGACTGTGCATCTCAACATCAATCATGTGTTATCGCCTAAGCCAAGTTGCTCAGTATCTATCATATAATTATATAAATACATAAGGAAGTGAAGAAAGCAGTCTTCTGGGATTTGGCACCGTGTATATGTGGTGTTAACCGATGTTTCGGAGGAACGTATCGCCCCCATCTTCAGGGTTGAAGAAGTATAAGTAAATCTGCAAGTGACAACACCGTGAGACACGGTCAAGNCAATGGACAGCATCCAATATATAATACATGCAATAATGATGTCGATAAAATATATTAATATTTTGGCTTTGTCAGACATCTGGCATAGTTTCATACCACCAAGGTATCATAGACACTTTTTAAGCCTGATTATGATATCCAGGGGATAATCCTCATTTTCACCAGTATTTTGGCGAAACAGCTGTGCGTGTTGCCATCCACCATCGCCTATGCCAACTCTCAGGTGAGCACTAAATTCCAGCTTTGAACAACCTCTGAAGTCACTTGTTTCAAATACCTTGCCATCTATAAAACAGAAACAAACATGGAAATAGTAATGGCCATGTTTGACCATGTTTTGGTCATATTTGAACTTATAGGAATATAAACTACAAACTCTTCATTGCAAATAAAATATAAGGATTTAAGGGAGAGAGAGAAAAAAAGAAAGAAATTAATTACTTAATAAAAAAAATTGTTATATATGCAGTTATTACAGTACTAGTAGGGGCTTCCCATACCTTAATATGTTGGTTTGCATATCCTGATCACATGAACAGCTATGCTAGTGGGGTGTAAGTTCCTCACAGGCTCACCAAAGTTGGAGAGGTTGCAGGGCAGGGGCCAAAAAAACAATGGCCCATGAGCTTTTGGGTTGGGCTTAGAGGCTAACAACCTCACTTCACAAAAAAATGTGTTAAGAAATCCAATGATGGATGCCAGATGATAATTTGCAGAAATGAGCAAGGAATGATTACAAGCATGACTTGAAGATGCTGAGAATGATTTATAAGAACTAAAAGTGAACAGAAGGTTAGTAACAGAGAAAAAATTTCATCTGTCATCAAGGAGGCCGAGGTTCTCTGAAGACTGCAGGACCAAGAAGAAAGCAAGTATAGGTAGTGACTTGAATCAGCATCATTTTTTTATTGCTAGTGGGGTGGGACTAAGTCCCTTGCACTGCGGCCACTTCTGGCCTATTGTACCAGCCCCAGATGATAGGTGAGGGTGATTGTGGAGCAATTGGTGGAATGAAGATTGGCATGAAAAACCGAAGTACTCTGAGAAAACCTGCCCCAGCGCCTCTTTTTCCACCACAAATCCCACTTGATCAGACCCGGGATCAAACCCAGGCCGCCGCGATGGGAAGCCAGTGACTAACCACTTGAGCTATGGCGCGGCTTAAAGATCACGGTAAGTACATTTTTAACCCCTTGCAGACTCCTTTAATATGGCACCCTTCCTGCCCTTATACCTACATTTAAATGGCTGCAAGTCTGTTGTGTCACCTTATTTTTAAGTCATGTTTTGGTCAACGAAAAACCACAGAGGAGGACACATCTGCCATATGTTGAAGACTAGATGAAATACTAGTACAACCTACACAGGAACTTCAAAAATGTCATGGAGACTTGGTATGGCTGTTTGGACAGTTTAGCCAAACCACACATTGGAGACAATGTTAGTCTACGAAGGGTTAATGACTCTCTCAACTGCATGGATTATGAGCATCATGCGGAATTATGATTGTTACTGATGAATTGAGAAAATTGTGGAAGAAGGTACTCGTGACCTATTTGACAGTACCATCCTGTTACCATTGTGATGAGAATGAGGAAAGCCACATAAAACCTCAGTCAGCCTGTAGGCTCAGAAATTAACCCAAGATTCTGATGTCAAAACTGAAGCAATAACCACTCTACCATAAAATTTGGCCAGAATCTGAATGAAAACATTCTCAGAAAACAACCACTTTAAAAACAGAGTAAATGGGAAGATAATATTGAACTAGACTACAGACAAATAGACAATGAAAATTTCAGCTGGTTTGGAAAGGACTGAGTGGTAGGTTTTGATATTAGTAATGGGTCTTATTATCAAAAATATTACTTAATTAGTAGAACAACTGAATATATGGTGAAATTTGTTATTATCATACCTCCAGGTACAAGAGCGCATGTATCTCCTGCACACAATTTCAATAGCACTCTCCCTGTGTCACGCAGCCAAGTAGAACATTGTATGCATACACTATCTACAACTGTACCACTATCTGTGAAATCAAACTTCCACATTATGGTACCCTCATCACTGCCCTCTGAAACAGTAAATGAACATCTAAATGTAGCACTATCCTTTTTGTTCACATTAAGCACATTAACTTCTTGCTTTTGTATTCATTTCCATATCTCTTGGCATGTTCAGGACGAACATCTACAAAAATGCATCTGATGGCTTCATAATGTCGAACCATCTGTCTGCATGCAGCCAATTCCTGAAACCCCTAAATGAATTTACACAAAAATCGATTGGGAGGGGGTTAAATTGGTCAATACATTCCAGTACTTTTCATGATAACATGCATGCAACTCTCTGAATATTTATTGCAACAAACAAACTTTCAAACAAGAATTTCAGAGAAAAATGAAACATACATTTCTTGTCCAATACACTTCTTCTACGTCTTATGGTTTTCAAATACTTAAACAGAAGGATTTTTTCTAGAATTACTGAGTGTTTGGACATTATCACTCTTAATGTTATTTTATTTAAAAGCAAAGTTTCAGAGACTGGACTTTGCCTGCATCCTCAGGTAAAAGAGTACTCACCTGGGTCCAATTGATACAGGCAGTCCCTATCTCTGGATCAGCTCTACTGATTAGGCCCAACTTAGGCTTGTACCTGAGGATGTTAACACAGTCCAGTCTCCAAAACCATGTTTTGAATAATAAAAAGAGAGCAATGGATAATGTCCAGGAACTCAATGATTGTAGTGATATGCCGCTGTCAGGAACTTTCAAAAAATTTTCTGCTTCATCAACTCACAGCCTGAGAATCAGACAGACTTTGCTCTGTAAGATCTGAGGTTTTCACGGTGACGACTATGAAGAAAGCCGTCTTCTGGGATGTGGCACCGTGTGGATGTGGTATTATCTGACGTTTCAGAGGAACGTATCACCTCCATCTTCAGGGCAGAAGGAAAAATAAGAAAATCCACAAGCGAAGAGACCGTGAGAACTGGTACAAGCAGACTTTGCTCTGTCTGTTTTTACAGTATTTATGAGACAGTACCCAAAGTAAGGATTCATAAATTATACTCTATAGACAATAAAAGAGTAAACATGCTAGAACTGTTACGCTGACATTTCCTAACTTGTCTGCACAATTATCTGCATGTTCAATTGGATCAACAGCTTGATGTACTGAAAATACAACAAAGTGGTCTTACCAGTCGTTGCTAAGTAGGCCATTTTCCAATCTTTCTCTTCTTTCCTGAAGACTGATTTCATTTGAAAAGTTCCATTTTCCCAGCCTTCTATCTCCTCCAACCCAACACTTCTCACATACTTGTTTCTTGATGTTGAATACCGAATGTGCATCTTGCCTGCTTTGATCTCCGACTGGGTTGGCTTCCATGTGAAGGGATCCACACATTTCTGTGAAACATCTGTTTCTCCTCGGGCCAGCCTCCATGCCAAAGATCCTGAAGTGCGTCCCTAAAAAATAAAATCACACTTAAAATACCAACCTAAATACTTTGTAATTTTAAAAGTAGAAACATTGTGAAGTTAATCTATTTGAAGACCGTGCCATAGCTCAAGAGGTTAGTCACTGGCTTCCCACCGCGGCAGCCTGGGTTTGATCCCGGGTCTGGTCAAGTGGGATTTGTGGTGGACAAAGTGGCACTGGGGCAGGTATTCTCCGAGTACTTCGGTTTCCCCTGCCGATCTTCTTTCCGCCAATTGCTCCACAATCACCCTCACCTATCTGTCATCTGGGGCTGGTACAATAGGCCAGAAGTGGCCACAGTACAAGGGACTCAGTCCCACCCCACTTCACCGTCACCTATCTGTCATCTGGGGCTGGTACAATAGGCCAGAAGTGGCCGCAGTACAAGGGACTTAGTCCCACCCCAGTAGCAATAAAAGAAAATAAAAAATAATCTATTTGAATCATCCAAATCCTTCCTGGGCATACAGATAAGCAAATGGGGCAAGAAATTAAAATATTACTTACTGTTCCATCTCACCTTGCTTAGTCACAATCTAATAAGCATCCTTCAAACAAAATACAAGTCCAACTAATGGTAGGAACTGATACCTTCTTTTCTGCTTCAGTAGGCTGACGAGGTGTCAGAAACTCAACAAGCTCTGCTACCAGTCGTTTGTTGAGGTACAGTTTCCTGGCATCAGACATGTCCTGTTGTCGTTCTTGTCTAAGCTGCATGATGGTGGCCAGCAGGTCACTTTCGGTGCACTCAGTCCTGCGACTCAAAACTTTCTGATGTCTGCATGAGTATCGCCATGTCACGTCCTGCACTTCATCTCGCGAGTATGCCATCACATATGAGAGCTTTTTGCCCCAGCCAATTTCGTACAAAAGGGGACAGTCACATACATTTTCACAGGGGTCACAGTGGAGCCACCTCCTCCGTGTGCCTGAGTAAACCTGTAAATATACAGCTAATTTAAACAATTCCTGGTTACCTCTGTCTTTTCCTGTCACTTCTTGTTTCATCACCAAAGACAGCATGGCTGTAATACGATTCCTCTGTTATTCCAGTGACACAGTTTGATGACTGTGAGATGCCTACTTGTCTAACTTGGAGCTACTTTAAACACTGTGAAATGTCATGAGATAAAAGTCAAAAAGAAAATAATTTATAACAGATGTAATACAGCGTTACATAAATCTTGTTATAATCTATCCTTGATGTGTCCCTCACCTCTGTCCACACATGATCTGTCTCATCTGCAATGTAGCGAGCCTCCCAGCCAAGTGCACGGCACATTAATGTGAAGCAATTGGCCCACTCCCCACAGCGACCTTTACGAGTTTCCAGTAACTTCTCAGGGTCATTGTACCGGGGAAATAACACTTTCTTATGGCACATTTTGCAGGAATATACCTATATAATCGAGGAACAACACTTATATAAGTCATTCTACACGATGTACAAATGCCAAGTATCACTTAACATAAGCCATATGCATACATGTAACAGCTGAAGTTTTCACGGTGGCTCGAGTTGAGAAAATCTTTGCAGACTATCAGCCACAACAGTTGGTTAAAAATTGCCGATTTCTGATCAGATCCTGATGATGAGGACAGAAATGGCACCTGAAGAATTGGTAATTTTTAATTATCCGGCATGGAAGATATCCAAAGAAGATTTTACTAACAGTTGGAAACTATCTGAGAGTTTAAATTATATGAAAACACATGCACCAAGAGTGAAAGAGTGATGACTCTTGACGTACAGAAAGTTGTGAATGTTTAGAAGGGAAAGATCCTGAAGCAAAGACACCATTACCTTTATGAAAGTATTATCCTGGATGAAATAAACCAGCAAATGCCAACAACAATAACCAGTTTCTCCCCCAGATTAAAAAAAGGCACTGCCAAAATATGGGTCACAATTTGAGTGGTTCATTTGCTTGTAAAAAGTAAAGTAAAGCTATTCCTGTAACAGGCCGTGAAGGCCCATAGGGTTGTGAGACGTTGAGGGTCCCACATTACCTTGACAATTGGCTCAAAGATGGCGGTAAGGTTGTCAGCCTTACGCATCGGCCGCGCTTCACTCCCCACGAAAATTATTTAATTAATTCCTGGTACTCATTTCTGTTAGAGGCTGAGTAAACTCCATGGCCTAGTATGGCCGGAAGGATTAGGTCAATTGAAAAAATCCAATGACCTCATCGGGACTTGAACCAGCGACCTTCCGGCTTGTAGCACAGTACCGTAACCACTACGCTACCGCGTACCCCGTTCATTTGCTTACTTCTTTAATTCCATCTTTCTTTCATCTCTCATTCCTGTTCCTTGAACAAGATTTAACTAAATAAGAAACATTTCCTAAATTCCTTCTAACTGTAATTTTACCATGAACATCATTTCTGTTGTAATTATCAAATTCTTAGAGCATGGGCCTTTATACGTGTAGACGAATTGGTAAAATGACCAGTTACAGGCTGAATGACCCAGGTTCTACTGTTGGCAGGAGAAGGGATTTTTCTCTTCACTTTTACACCCAGACCAACTCTGAGGCCTTTGCATTGCCATACTCAGTGAGCAGAGCTTGATGACACACTTTCCTCTCAGAGATAAAAGTGGCCAAAGCCTGCAGATGGCAAATCACTCCCATCTACTGCTGACATTATAAATGCATAAAACTTTACCTAATTCCCCCCATACACCTTCATGGAATGGTGCTCAAACACAGAGGCAACATTAATTTTCACATAAGCAATGGTGTTATGCAACCCGTTTCTAGGCAATTGATCAGTACACACATTCCCGTGACAATAAATACAAAGACAACAACAGAATTACTGTTGGAAATGGTGTTTTCTACTTGGTCCGTGCAAAGTGGTTATAAGGAAGACAACTGGGGTGACCCAATTAGTTGTCAGTTGAAAGTCTGCTTGTGAAGGGAGGACTATGAGTTTTGTGTGAAATGGCCACCAGCCTGGGAGTTGTTAGTTGGTAGTTGTCAATTGTAAGCTGAATTCTGCATGGGAGGCTCTGATGACAGAACCTGAGCACATGAAGCTGAAGAATCACCACTGTTAGAAGCTGCTGTCAGGGAATGGCTGATGAAGATGCAGGAGGCTGGAAAAAGGCTTAGCAGATGCTGTGTTGATTTGTAAAGTGTAGAGATTAGCAGTAGCACTGTAATTACTTGTAGTTCCAAGTGAATAAATCCATTCACCAATCAATCAATCAATTTATTTGTTCCAAGAATCCATATTTTGTGATAACAACCTCCAGATACAGAACAAGTCAATAACTACATATTAATAAAACATACATATCATACATGAGTCAACTATACTATAAAATACATACCTCATCTACAGTCACACCCCTAAATTGTGACAATATAATAAAAGCCTCCCTTGCTGGACAGTTCAAAGGGTAGGCATCAGACACACCAAAAACTGATGCCGGAAGCAGCATCATCAGCAGCGACTTGAAGCACAGAGCAAATGATGCTCGAGATGGTTCAAGTTCGTATAGCAACAGGTGTGACCAGAGTGGTTTGAACGGCTGTTGTACTGCGATGTGGAAAGCAAATGGAAAAACTACAACATTATCACTTTTCCTGCACAGTCTCTTTTAAAAAAAAACCAGAGATACCATGTATGCGAGATGTTTCCTCTGGAGTCAAACAAACCGGAGGGGCAGATAGAAGTGCCCAAAAGACGAGGAAGAAGACCGAAGAAGATATTTTAATTGAAGGAGAAAGCTTGAGATTGCATGAAGTGGAGGAACTGTTTTGGAAGAGACTGTGGACCTGTCGTCTGATAGATTACTGATGAATGAATAACCACTGGGCATTAAAGGTTTAATCTGAGAGTTATAGTTTAGTCCAGTGGTATTCTGGGCTGACAGTGTGCAGTCTTGCTAGTGGATACCCTGAGATGACATGCCTCTATCCTGGTCCTCTATAAAAGGACTGTCTCTCACTTCTCGCCTTCCATCCGCAGAGGCCCTGAAATTAGCCATCTATTCTCACAGTTCCAGGCCCTCCTGAGACAGAAATGTTACAGCCCTCAAAAGGGCCAGCTTCTTATTCACCATCCCTATTGGCCCAGGCCAGGTTCTATCATCTGTACTCCTCCAATGGGCCTGATAAATCCCTTCCTTGCCACCTGCATATAACCAGCTCATTCCTCATACATCAACTTTGAAGAGGCAGGCAGTGTGTTCCTTGAAAATATTGGTATCCACATACAAGGTGACACAGTATCACCACCCAGAAGCCCACAGTTTGAAAATAAAAATAAACTTACTTCAGTCCTATAAACTTCTCCTTCTGCTGCATAACTGTAATCATGTCCTATAAACTTTGTAGTTCCTTTACATGACACACACTGTGGAGAAGCAACCCAACAGAAGAAAGAGTTCTTAAACCAAGATAACAGCTCCATTAAAATTAACTCCTGAATATCAACTTCTTTCTCACTAGTTAGGCCACTTTTTATGGATTTCTGTAACTTTCGCATGTTATTTTCTGCTGCTATTTGAAAGTCCTTCAAAGGAATCAATGCAAGGGCCTTGGACTGCAGTTCCTTCTCTTCATATCTCAAAACAGCTCGAGAATGGCTGGCGACTCTCTCAAGAAATGTTTTTTTGGGTCTCTGTAAAGTACCATAAAACATACAGGATTCTCAAACATTGATCTTCTTCAGCTTAAAAACATCAGAGAGATTTTTCTAGTACTACATTTACTCAAGCAATTTACTGTTTTTATCTCACAGTTCCAGGTAATAGTTTTGTGATGAAGATATCTTACAAAACTGACACATATTTTGGCAATTTTCCATCATCCTCTATTGATCAAAGAAAGACAACATTTCAGAATCTGGCCCTGCTTCCATCATCAGGTAAAAGTACGAATCCTGCTCTGCTGGGTCCGTTGGATGGAGCTAGTCTGTCTCTGGATACGAAATATCAGGAAATAAATTAGTTACTCTTCCACTGCTGCAAAGGAGGAAGTTTACATAAATTTCATGAAGCCAAAATAAATTTTCAGAAATAAAGGTACATAAAATGCACAATACGGCATTTGGCTTCTACATCTAGGCAGCTCTGAGAATAAGAGGGGATGGCTACTGAACCTGTAATTAAATGAAATCCAATAGCTTAACTAAGTAACCACTAACACTTCCACCCCTCCCCCCCCCATCTCCCAGCTGCTGGCTGACCTCCCAGACCAGCAACATTTAGCAGTACACTAGCAGTCGTCAGTATGTCATGGTAAAGAAATGAGCAGTAAACAGCTGACATATGTCAAAGGAATTGGAAAATGTAGCTCCAAACACCATCTAGTGACAGAGTACAAAATATGTGCCCAAAGTGTGTTCTAAAAGAGAGGTATTTTGTTTTGTCAGTGTCAGTACTAGCCAACCTTTGTCAGATATGTCTGTCTGGATGACGCACCCATAAATTGGGAAATAAAAGGGTTAAGATTAAAATTATTTTCATATGGAACATAGCAAGAAGCACGCAATTTAATAGATGAAGTACACCCTGTTAAACAATGATATATGTGGAAACAGAGGTTCTTGTCACCCGTAACAAAATGATGAGAATTCTTGCAATTGACCCTCCAGTATCGAATGGAGGTTTGTTTGTTTCATTGCTCATCAGTTTGTTTGTCAAGACTTTCTCAGCCACATGTCTTGTATAGCATCATCTCCTTGAATAATTGTGGCAGCTGTCCTCGTTTAGTTCAAGGCAGTAATATAAAATTTCCTGCACATAGAAAAGAAAATCACAAACAAAAATCAGATAACCTTTGAACCATGAAATGCACTTCAAACCTCCTTAACACAAGGGTGGAATGCTAATGACTCAACTGTAATAATTCATGAAGTGAAGGCTGACACATGGTGAGATTGGGCTAACATTAACTTTAAACATTTTACCGTTATTTTCTTTTGTACTATAGGATTTGATGTGCTTGTAGCTGATGAAGATGGTGATACGTCAGACGGTGCAGAAGATGTTGCTGGAATTTTCTTATACGTGCTTCTTCTTGTAGAAATCTCATCCCTTATATGCTTCAGATTTTCCAATGATACATTCCCTGGTAGTACCAAACTGTCTTCACCCTAAAGTATAAATAACAAGTATTATTAATGATCCTATACATACAGAAAGATCATCTTACAGAAAATGCAGCTGACAAGGCATGTAGCACAAACTGGAGACATGAGAAATGCATACAAAGTTTTCCATGAAAAACCTGATAGGACAAGATCACTGGGAAAACCCAGATGCTGGTGGCAGGACAATATTAAAATGCATCTTAAAGAGGTATGGTGTGTGGGTGAGAATGTATTCATTTGGCTCAGGACAGCAATCAGTGGCGGGCACTTATGAACATGGTAATAAACCTTCAGGTTCCACAGTGGGAAATTTCTTGAATAAGGTAAGGTAAAGTTGTCCCTGAGCTTAATTAATTAAGCATTACACCATGAAGGTGTATGGGGGAGTGGATGTATAGATCCACATTTTATTGACCTCGGTACTAGCTAGAGGTGAGTGGTCAGCTTCATGCCCCGGCCGCTTTACCCCTGGTACCCATTGGATAGGAGGTTGGGTGGACCCCATGGCTGGTCTGGACAACGTGGAGAAGAGAAAATTCTTGAGCCTATTGGGACTAAATCCTCAACCCCTCAGTCATCCAGCCCAAAGCCAGTTGCTATACTGACTACACTTCCCGAACAGCTGAAAGCAAATATTAGTGTCTCAAGATGGACTTTGCCCAGTGCAGTTAGGGAGACACCCTGTACATTCTACAAGATATTACCTGGCACATATGGGGAATGGTGTCTGCTATTTATATTAACCTGCCAGTCACACGAGAAACAGTCCTACAGAAAACCAATACAAAGTCAAAACAATATGTTTTCACAGAGATACTGGGTTTTCCGACTTTATCCATCGTCCTGGTTTTTTAAAAAAAAAATAAAGTCCGAAAACCCAATATCTCTGTGTGTTATACACCATCATCAGAATCCTATAGTAACTAATATGTTTTCACTTTAGTGGGAATCTTCCAAGGGGACACAGCAGATCAATGTGTGAGAAAATTCAGATACACGTACAATACATAACATAGTCACAAATTCAAGTAGCCTCTACTGTAATGGCACCTGCATGAAAGTGGATAGGCAGCGCTGCCATTGGTGGCTGGGAGAAGTACTGCATATCGGCTGAACATATGCACCATCACTATAAAATAAATCCTGAATTCACTGCCAGGATTTCAAACCTAAAAGTTCACCCTACAACCAACTACTTTAACACCTATGAAGGTTTTACTTCCCTATTGTTACTTACAGCATGCATCATATACCATAGGTTCCTAATACATAATACAGTGTACTGGTTTCCAATTCTGTTTCACCCTTCAGAGGCATATTACTCAAATCCTCATCTGCCTAAAATGCCTTGTAACAGACAACTCCTTCCTCTCGATGACCTCTTCTTCTCACAGTCCATAACAGGAATATCATATATCACTCAACACACATAATTTCATGCAGCCTACTTAAATGACTCAGAAATATGCTGATCCAGTAAGTATTCACCTTCATGCGTTATACGTCATGGGAAGTGACGATGATAATCCAACATATAATTTCATCCCTATGACTACTCACTTCTTGAAATCCCATTTCAAACAGGCACTCCATTGCACCAACTACAGGTATAAGCTTGTTTGAAACTGTTGGACTGCCGAGTTTGATACTCCTATACTTTGGGTTTGATGGATTTTTGATAACATTATCAACAAGTTTCAGCAACACCGAAGTGGTTTCTAAGTACACATCTTCAGGATTCTCCTCTAAAGCTAATATACAGCTCATTGTCATGTTGAATAAGTCTTAATGAAATGATTCAAAACAAATACTAAACAATTCGAAAATTAAAAAGTAAAGCAAACACCGAATTTCAGAACCCAGAAAATTCACCAAGTTCACCTCACATTTGATCCACTATTTTGGTACACCTGTTTTCTCTCTACACCTCAACGACCCCAACACGCCCAACAGAACGCTAGTACTTGGCAACGTACTGAAAGGCACGGATACTAAATGTGCAGCAGTGACAATGATTACGCTATTTGTGCCCTCGTACACTACAGCGCTATACAGTGTCAACTGGTGTCTTCAGGGTCTTCAGTGTGTATCGTGTCTACTAACCTCTCTGACATGGTTATGTCGGTTATGTCAATCATTAACTTTAAGATAATATATGTTCTGTTAAATACTATGGCAATAGTTGTCTTTTACCACGAAAGCAGTCATACGTACTTCCTGACTATATTTTTCAGGCGCCACAACACAGGTGAGTTACCGATCGCCGTACTGAAACCACTCTGATCGTTGTAACGATTGTAACCGAATGTAACTATTATGAACGTGATTATGAACATTATGAATCTCGGCCATCACAGATCTCAGCTGACGTCGCTGGGATGCTTAAATGGAGTGAGGTGCAATGTGTTATTATTAAATTATGACGGACATGACTGAACTGCGTTAAGGGCACGTTATTTTCCGTAAATATCGCAGACGTTCATATTGAGGTAATTATTTTGTAACGAACCTCATTCGCTTGTCATACTGTTTTCGCCGCATCAGCTGGCTATGAAAATTGTTAGTGGCAATAATTGTCATCAAACGCTGATGGAACAGTCATTACTTAACCAGCGTAATGTAACGTCTTACAGAATTTCTGGCCATCAGAAATAAGGCAGTTATATACTAGTACGCCTAAATACCAGAAAATAAATTATATTTTTTTCTTTTAAAGTAAAGCTGCAGATGTCAGTATGTAAATGTCATAATTACATCCAACATTTTGCTAAGAAAATAGTTAGGAAGTGGTCATTGTATTTTAAAGATATAGCCGTGAAACTTTACAGTGATTCCTTGTGTATGGAATTGGGTCATCTCCTTGTGTTAATATACCGGTGTCTATTCAGTTTGCAGCCATGGAAATGGATGAGGTAATACGTCTTTTATTTGGGTGGGACATTGACATGTCTGAAACAAGCAATACTGATCCTTCTTCATCATCATCAGAACGTTCAAAGTAAGTTTCTTGTTGTTGAGGAGGGTACAATGAAATTTATGACTCTTGTTTTTTTTTTTTTGTACTGTTGTCTTGAGAGCTAAATGATCTCACACATTGTGTGGTGGCTGCATCTGACTTTGGTGATAGAAGTATGCACCTTAACATTCATTTATTTTTGTTTAAGAATTTTTGACAGGATTTATATTGTTGTCTCTTTAGTATGGTAGGTGGTTGTCAGGGTTCTTCAGTGTGAAGATGAAAGTAATGAGTTGCTTTAAATTGCTGATAACCACCTACCATCCTATGTGGTATTGTATCCCAGAAGATGAAAATATAATTATCTTAGTTATTCAGAATGCTAATTCAACAACCAGATGTGTAGCTGGACTTGCAGTGGCATAATATTTCATATAGCTGAGGGAATTACCTGTCTTGAAATGAATTAGTGGCTGTGTGAAGTGACCATGGAGTATATCTTGTCATCGTCCAAGATGTTGTATCGTAGTATCCTGTCGCAGTTGGTATTATAATGTATTTTCAGTTTTGTTTACTGTCCACCATGCAACAGTATCAGAATTTAAAGTTAAATCATTTTAAAAGTCATCGCTGCAATACATGTTTTGGTCTACTCATCCATCAGGTGTGTTGTAATTCAGAAGAACTGCTATGCCTTCTACATACTGCAATCAGAGATTTCTTTTAGATTACAGTGTTTTTAAATGAAATTAGTAGTTCCTACTATGTGCCTGGTTGCAGTAGCACGAATTTCAACGCATGTGATGATGAGTGGAGCGACCAAAATATGTGGTGCAGTGACAAATTTTAAGAGGATTAAATTTTAAATCTTGATATTGTTGCATAGTGGATGGCAAATGAAACTTAAAAGAAAATGTAACCATCCAAGATGTTTAAGTGCTTTGTACTTTTCTAGGAAAGTCATAAATTTGTTCTCAGTGATACCAGAACTGGTAGGCCGCGCCATAGCTCAGGCAGTTAGTCGCTGGTTTCCCAACGTGGAGGCCCGGGTTCGATCCCCGGTCAGGTTAATTGGGATTTGTGGTGGACAAAGTGGCACTGGGGTAGGTTTTCTCTGAGTACTTCGGTTTCCCCTGCCAATCTTCATTCCACCAATTGCTCCACAATCACCCTCACCTATCATCTGGGGCTGGTACAATAGGCCAGAAGTGGCTGCAGTACAAGGGACTTAGTTCCACCACACTAGCAATAAAAAAATTAATACCAAAACTGGTACAGGATACTTTGCTGTGACTGATGATGCAGATGTTATGTTGTTTCTTGTATCCAGTAATAATTATGATTTGCTTGTAGTCAGATATTTTACTATTTCTTGGTTGAAATGTTTCTATTGTTATTTCATAATCAATGTTAATAGTATTAATTATGTGTTCACTGGAGTCAGCTATCTGATTCAACATATTTTATTCCATTTTATTCTATTCAGTTACTTTGTTTTATTTATTCTGTATATTATGTACTATTTTGACATGTTCTATATCTTACGTGTACTGTGGATCTGTGGAACGTTAAATTAATTCAAATTGAAAAATTTAAATTAAAATTCTTGAGAGAATGACCTGGGAAGTGCTACAGCTCTCTCCACATAGTCCATAGTTTAACTCCCAGTCATTTCAGTCCATTTGGGCTACAGAAACAGTTGATGGGACGCCAGAAGCTTGAATATTTCATATGCCGAGTAGTCATTTCTTACAGAGGCTTTGTAAAAATTCTTTTGTGCTCAGTCGAGAAGCTCACATGGTGGTGAAAAAATGTGTGGCGCTAGGTGGTGATACAAGGTGTGGCAATAAAGAAACCGGATTCATGCTCTAACCCTTTATTAAAAAAAAATCAGACAGTCGAAATGTTATCCCCTTCAATGTAGTCCCCTCCCCGATCCCTACACCGCTCCATGCGAATTTTCCACTGTTGGAAGCAGTGCTGCAGGTCATCTTGTGTTATGCTCTTCAAGAGTTGCGTCGCTTTTGCTTTCACTGCATCCACGGACTCGAACCTGGTCCCTTTCAGCGCAGACTTGATTTTTGGGAAGAGAAAAAAGTCGCACGGTGCTAGGTCCGGAGAATACGGTGGATGTTCCATCACTGGAATGTTGTTTTTTGCCAAATACCTCTTCACAGATAGCGCGTTGTGTGCTGGCGCGTTGTCGTGATGAAGAACCCATGAGGCATTCTTCCACATGTCTGGTCTCCTTCGTCGCACACGTTCACGGAGGTACGTCAAAACATTTTTATAATAAACCTGATTGACAGTCTGACCTTCAGGCACCCAATCAATGTAGATTACCCCCCGGATATCGAAAAAAACAATCATCATTGCTTTGAATTTGGACTTGCTCATGCGCGCTTTCTTCTTCCTAGGGGATTTGGGGCTCTTCCAATGCATGGATTGTCGCTTAGTCTCTGGATCATATTGAAGAATCCAAGTTTCGTCACACGTAATTACGTTTTGGAAGAAATCAGGATCATTTTCAATGTTTTCAAGAGTGTCAACACAGCAATTCACTCGATGTTCCTTTTGCTGGGGGGTAAGGATTTTTGGCACCACTTTAGCACACACCTTTTTCATGCCCAGATCGTCGTGCAAAATCTGTCTAACACTTTCCTTATTGATGTTCGTAAGTTCAGAAATTGCTCGAATGCTCAGTCGACGATCTCTTCGAACAATTCTAGCGACCTTCTCCACATTCTCTGGAGTTTTCGCAGTGGGAGGACGGCCCGATTTTGGATCGTTCCCGACGTTTTTCCTACCCTCCATAAACTTCTTAAACCACTCGAAAACTTGCGTGCGAGATAGACACTGATCACCATATACTTCTGTCAACAAATTGTAAGTTTCAGTGGCAGATTTTCCAAGTTTTGTGAGGAATTTGATGTTAGCACGTTGTTCTGCATTAGCACTCAGCATTATTCCGACGGAGCTCAGAAACACGATCCGCTTCTAACAATGGTCGCGGCCAGACTAACCGATGCACGTGAATGAAACTTTGTGTGACGGTAGAGGGAAGTCCAAGGGTCAATGCCCTACCCTCCTCTTCGTCAATGACGTGGCCGGAAATGAGTCATAAAAGTAATCCGGGTTCTTTATTGCCACACCTTGTATACAAAGACGAGATATCAAGATTCCTCTGAAGGTATGCAATGATTTTAAGTCATGAACTTAGTATTCCTACCTTGTATTAAAGATGTCAACAAAATTTTCCAGTTAGGTAAAGTAAGTTAAAATTTTCCCTGTTCTTAATTAATTAAGCACTAAGCCTTGAAGTTGTGTGGGAGACTGGACGTATAGCTCCACCATTCTTGAACTCAGCACTAAATGGAGGTGAGTGGTCATCTTCATGCCCCAACTGCTTTGTCCCCAGAGAAATTGGCCCCAATAACCTGTGGATAGGAGATTGTGTGTGTCCCAGAGCCAGTTTGAACACTGTGGAAAAAAGTAGTCTTGCACCTGTAGGGAATTGAACCCTGGCCATCTGTCCCATAGTCTGTCACTATACCAACTAAGATATTCCAGATCCACCTTTGCTTCTTGTTGTAATTTGCATTAATGAATCTCTAAGTCTTCTACAGAAGCAAAATGTGATGAAGTTTTGCAGCTTTGATGACTTCTGTTGCAATTGCAACATGTAATCATTCACGCAGAATTACTGGGATTTTGGACTTTGTGCATCGTTCGGTATTCTAGAAACTGGAAAACGTTTCACAGTGCACAGTGCAAATTCTACAAGTAACTCTTCTTTGCAATATATTACAGTAATCCCCCCACTAATCCAGATTAAGAGGGGGGGGGAGGTCATCTGGATTAGTGAAGCAAAAGGTAGGCCTCAAAGACAAGAAAAAAATGTTAGAACACACATAATTGGAAAATTGAATGATAGAAGTAGTGCTGATGAAAATAAAGAAAAAGTATCACTGTAGAGCCTTTATTTAAAGACTATGAAGGCAATACATTTATTCAGTGGTAGAAAACTTTTTGAATGTATTAATGCAGGTTTGAAGAAACTGTCAAGTTTTGTCTGAATAGACAAGTGACTCATCTTCCTTCCTAAATACTATGTTCCTTCTAAAGTATGTACTCAACTGTGAACAGCATTTTTCATATTTCGATTTGGATCAACTGTGACTGGGTTAGCAAGGGTTTACTGTAATAATATTTCATACCCATGCCAGTAATGGCCTTATGAACCACACATGTAACAGTATAATGCTGACTTGTTCTTTTACAGGAAGTTGAGATGTTTGGAATATGCCCACCATCGGGTAAACAGAGCAATGGAAGGGTTGGATCCACTGCAGGGCAAGCAAATGTGGCCTTCAGATACAAGAAAAGGAAGGTTAGGTCATGCTGCAGTGCGTTTTGATATTACTTCAAACGTTGGACAGTCTGCACTTAGCTTAGATCGACTGAGTGTTGCCTCTCAAAGCAACTTCAGCACCGTTCGAGCCAATACTTGCGTTTTTAGAGGTAAGATGTCAACCATGAATGTCGCCTACTGTCACTGGTAATAGTCATGGTTAAACCTAATGTTTCTCATCTGATGTGTCATGATGTTATGAATTCATTTACATGTAGCAGTAGTTCACAGGGTGTAGTAGTACCTGTTACTGTTGCAGAGTAGTGACATAGTAATCTTGTTCAGTCCTGTTATGTCTTATCATGTCATGTTATGTGCCTGTGAAGCTATTAGACTGTGCCTTTGACAGTTGTAATATGTTTTTTATTTAGACTGCGGTTTTATGAATTGATATAACGTGTAGTCTCCTCTGTGGGTGGTTACGCTGTGTTTGGAGAAATCTGCAGACTCCATCTTCAGGATATACTGAGGGCAGAGTCAGCAGGCTCCTTCAGAACATGGGTCCCTGTTTGCTGAACTATGTGACATCACATTTCAGAATATCATAGTGCAAATGCTCACTGCCGTGATAATCTCAAATTGCTATCAGCATTCGTATTCATGGTCATCTTCTGTGTTCTGGAATCTGTAATTGAAATGTTATTAAATAATTCAAGAATTAATTATTAAAAACCCAACACATTCTGATATTTTTATGCCTTATGTGTTTTAGGTAGATGGCAGTATGAAGTGCAGTTGGGTTCGAAAGGTGTCATGCAGATTGGATGGGCTACCATTGGTTGTAAATTCTCCCAGGAAACTGGTGTTGGTGGGTTATAACATTTTTACTTGTGTCTTCTGTGCATGTTATTGCAGCTTTCTTAGCATTTTCAGCACTATGTTACTGTGATGAAACCAGAATTTGAGTTTTTTTTTNTGTTTCCATCCCCAGGTTGAGGGGTCGGGGGCAGGTATTCTAATGAACACTACGGTTTGGAAGCTGGATCTGTTTCCATCCCCAGGTTGAGGGGTCGGGGGCAGGTATTCTAATGAACACTACGGTTTGGAAGCTGGATCTGTTTCCATCCCCAGGTTGAGGGGTCGGGGGCAGGTATTCTAATGAACACTACGGTTTGGAAGCTGGATCTGTTTCCATCCCCAGGTTGAGGGGTCGGGGGCAGGTATTCTAATGAACACTACGGTTTGGAAGCTGGATCTGTTTCCATCCCCAGGTTGAGGGGTCGGGGGCAGGTATTCTAATGAACACTACGGTTTGGAAGCTGGATCTGTTTCCATCCCCAGGTTGAGGGGTCGGGGGCAGGTATTCTAATGAACACTACGGTTTGGAAGCTGGATCTGTTTCCATCCCCAGGTTGAGGGGTCGGGGGCAGGTATTCTAATGAACACTACGGTTTGGAAGCTGGATCTGTTTCCATCCCCAGGTTGAGGGGTCGGGGGCAGGTATTCTAATGAACACTACGGTTTGGAAGCTGGATCTGTTTCCATCCCCAGGTTGAGGGGTCGGGGGCAGGTATTCTAATGAACACTACGGTTTGGAAGCTGGATCTGTTTCCATCCCCAGGTTGAGGGGTCGGGGGCAGGTATTCTAATGAACACTACGGTTTGGAAGCTGGATCTGTTTCCATCCCCAGGTTGAGGGGTCGGGGGCAGGTATTCTAATGAACACTACGGTTTGGAAGCTGGATCTGTTTCCATCCCCAGGTTGAGGGGTCGGGGGCAGGTATTCTAATGAACACTACGGTTTGGAAGCTGGATCTGTTTCCATCCCCAGGTTGAGGGGTCGGGGGCAGGTATTCTAATGAACACTACGGTTTGGAAGCTGGATCTGTTTCCATCCCCAGGTTGAGGGGTCGGGGGCAGGTATTCTAATGAACACTACGGTTTGGAAGCTGGATCTGTTTCCATCCCCAGGTTGAGGGGTCGGGGGCAGGTATTCTAATGAACACTACGGTTTGGAAGCTGGATCTGTTTCCATCCCCAGGTTGAGGGGTCGGGGGCAGGTATTCTAATGAACACTACGGTTTGGAAGCTGGATCTGTTTCCATCCCCAGGTTGAGGGGTCGGGGGCAGGTATTCTAATGAACACTACGGTTTGGAAGCTGGATCTGTTTCCATCCCCAGGTTGAGGGGTCGGGGGCAGGTATTCTAATGAACACTACGGTTTGGAAGCTGGATCTGTTTCCATCCCCAGGTTGAGGGGTCGGGGGCAGGTATTCTAATGAACACTACGGTTTGGAAGCTGGATCTGTTTCCATCCCCAGGTTGAGGGGTCGGGGGCAGGTATTCTAATGAACACTACGGTTTGGAAGCTGGATCTGTTTCCATCCCCAGGTTGAGGGGTCGGGGGCAGGTATTCTAATGAACACTACGGTTTGGAAGCTGGATCTGTTTCCATCCCCAGGTGAGGGGTCGGGGGCATGTACTCTTGTTGGACTAGTCCACTGATTGAAGTTAGCTCTTTTTAACAGATGTAATGCAGCACCTGCCTCCCACGCTCTTCTGAGGATGGAAACAGATTCATTTTCTGAAATGTAGTATACTTTAGAATATCAGATGATGGGTAGAGTCCAGGAACACGTTAATCCTGAATGTTATACACTGTCAGAACCCTTTAGAATCAAGTTATGCCTTTTGTAGTCACTTCTTAATCAACATTAGCATAAGCAAGTAATTTAGATTACCATCTGTGTAATACATCATGCCCCTTTTTCTTCTTAATTTAATAGTAATTAATTTATTATGTCATTAGGAACCTTATGTTTGTATCTTCTTAATTCTCCATATTACACATGTCATTGCATTGTGTCTTGCAGATATTGGGTGTAAAGTTTTATTATTCTTCTGCCTTTACTGTTCAGCAGACATCACTGATTCACCATCTCATGTGCAATGCATCCTTGTGAAACTTATTTAAAAGCTTCATACATCATGCAATGTGTCTTTTTACACCTTATTTAAAAGTTTCTGTACATTGTATTAGACATTTTAACCAACATTGGTCATTATTGGGTGTTTAAAATTGCTGGTGTAAACTGCTTTGCTTCTGTTTTGTGATTCTAATATTTGATGTGTGGTCCCATCTATGTGTTCATGTATTCCATGACGCTAGGTGGCTCTTCCTGTTGTGCTGTGTCCCTAGACTAGGAATGTTTCTGTCTTTATTCATTTTGCATTTGTGTAGCCTGTTGTGCATAAATGGCTTGTATCTGAAGAACGCCATGTTCTGGGATGTGATGCCATGTAGGTATTGTATAAACTGACATTTTGCAGGCGATGCATTCCTCCTGAACGTTGGTTTACACGAGATCTACACAGTGCCACATCCCAGAAGACAGCGTTCTTCAGTCACCACTGTGGAAACCTCAAATCTTACATAAGATTGTATCTGCTTGCCCATCTGTTTGAATGTTTCAACTTAAGAACTGCTGGGCAGGTTTTGGTGAAATGTTATATAAATTGAAAAATTTTAATTTCATGCGTTTAGAAACAACAGCATAGTGGATGCACAAGTGTGTGAGGTGAGAGCCCGAACATTGTTAACGTCTTTGTCAAAGCTGTTCAGAAGAACTGAGTTCCAAGGTGCAAAGTAATTATAGCAGTAAACTAGTAAGGCGGGATTTAGCTCCCTTGTGTAACATAGTTTGTGTTTTAGTATTCTAGGACAGCGTTGAGAGTCATTATTGTTGTTATTGCTCTAGGGGACACAATCAATTCCTATGCATATGATGGGAATCGTATTTGTAAATGGAATATTTCAACACAGAAATATGGAGAGGAGTGGATTGGTGGGGACATCATAGGATGTACAATTGACCTAGATTCTTCCAAGCTGGAATTTTACAGGCGAGTATTTGATAGACGAGTTGTGTGAGTGATACTGTGGTTGTGTAATCCAAAGATTTAATAATGCTAATAACAAAGCTTACTGATGGGACGCACTTCTGAGCCACTTCCAATAAATCACATCCTCACAACTTATTTCTGTAACTAAGAAACTAACTCTCTGGAGCTGAACCATTAGCATGAAGTTAATAGTTCCTTAGTCAATCAAGAAATTCCCAGCATTATATGGAAACTGAGAGTTCGTCGTCATGTTTGCACTAGTCCCCTGTTCTGAGCCAGATGAAATCAGTCTATGCCCGCCCCATCCTGTTTCTCAAAGATTTGTTTTAATATTCTCTCCCATCTGTACCTAAATCATCGTAGTGGTCTCTTTACTTCAGGCTTTCTACCAGAACTTTGTATATGTTCTTTTACATCCCATGTGTCCTACTTGCCCTGTCTGTCTCATCCTTGATTTGATCATTTTAATAATACTGGGTAAGGAGTATTATCAAGCTTTTCATTATGCAGTTGTCTCCAGTCTCCTGCTATTTTGTCCCTCTTAGACCGGAGTATTCTCGAACACCCTCAGTCTGTGTTCTTCCCTTAATGTAAGAGACTAGATTTCACACCCATATAAAACCTCATCTCCCTAAGGTCCATTTCAAAGTTATCCTTTGATCTCCAAAATTTTCCCTAGCAGATACTTCCAAAGATATTTCTTCATCAAAATTCTGTGTGTATATTTTGTCTTGTCCAGTCCTAACCACATTCGTAGCCCAGTCTTACTGTCCTGACAGTACTATGGGACTGTCTGTTTGTATATCTGTGCTCTAGCAGTGTCAGCACTCTTGATGAATGGGGTCTGATGGACTTTCTGTGTTTAAAACTGTCCTTAGATAGGAGCCATTTAAAAGTAGAAAGTCATCATTCACAATTCGTATTTTACTGTTCACTATAATTTTGGGCTACCTGCTTTTGTTCTTTTATTTATTTACATAGATATTTTATTAATTTTGCCTTGTGAATTTATGTCATTGCCAAAATACCTAAATTTAATGGTGTTACTCATTTAGAGGGAAACTGTGGTGGGCTTCCAGAGCCAAGAGACGAGCTCTATCTAATGGACCCATTTGAGTAGGCTTCTTTCCGTTTTACATCTTTTGACAAAAGAAGATCCAGCTTCTGAAGCATTGTATAATTTAAGTATAAGAGTTTTATTATATTTTGTCTTCATTCCGGCAACTTTCACAAGTGGGTATATTTATGAGTTCCAGAATTTCTGTTCTTAATAAAGAGATCGTTTTTTAATTAACTTGCTACTTGTACTGTCCTGCAATGAAGAGAAGGCAAGGCAAGTTGTGGGTAGAATTGATCTTGACCATTTTTCTGCACATTTATGGACACATGAAGGTTTAGTGTGCCTACAGAAATGATAAGAGTTGGCCCAAAATCATGCCAATGTTTTAGCTTGCACATTACATGCAGGCAGGACTTGGTAATTGCGTCACTTTCTCATCAATGGAGGACAGTACTTATTTTACTACTTGACTGAGTAAGTTGGTCTGACTGTGATGCCTCAGACTTATATTCAGAAGGTCCTCGGTCTGAATCTCAGCAAGGACACCAGTTATCATGATGAGGGGTTTTCATAGTTTTTCTCAGTCTCTCCAGGCAATTGCTGGGATAGTATCTCAGTCCATGACTACTTCCTTCCAAATCCTTTTAGGTTCTTCATTAATCAATCATTCTGCCATATGATGCTGTATAGTCTAGTTACTGGTATTGTCTTAAAATAAGCCACAAAAAGGATTCACTACTTGACATACCTACTTTCCTGTATAGGAATGGGAGGACCATGGGAAAAGCCTTTGATTGCATTCACGTTGGCCCTGGAATGGCATACTTTCCTGCTGTGAGTCTCGGTTTCAAAGAAAGTATCGTAGCAAACTTCGGTTCAACGCCAATGAGGTACCCAGTTCCAGGTTTTGAGCCCATTCAACAAGCCCCATTTCGTGATCTGGCCAAGGCAGAAAAACTAATCGTATGGTTGTCACAGCTTCTCAGATTATTCGAGTATAAAGATGAGGTTAGTTACAAATGATTCAAATAAGGTATGGAATGATATACATGAATAAACATTTGTGCAATTGAATTCTTTCTGAGGAAATATGTATATGTGTGCATCTCAGGTGAAGGAGTTTCTGAGATGATTGTCTGTTGTGGCAGTCTCTTATAATTCTACTGAAGGACCAGGTAGTCCATAACTTCTTCCTCTTATGATCACAGGACATTTCGCATGTCTTCATGTCTTTTGTTACTGAAGTGTATTGTCATGTAGGATATGATGTTATGAAGTCTGGCTTATGTTTCCCGGTGTTCTGGAGGAATGTCAGTAAGCTCCTACCAGACTACACAGTGTCACATCCAGGAGATTGGAACCTTTCATAGCTACCATTGTGATAATTTGATATTCTGTGGTAGCTCTGCATGTTTCATGCTTCTGTTTAGATTCGTTTGGATGATTCCAGTGGAAGGAAGAAATACGAGTACCATTTGTACTATATTTTGCTGCCATTTCTGCAGTTTTCTTGTTCTTACTGGTACTGGGGCCATTGACACAATAATAAATGTGTTGATTATAGTTTTATGAACAATTGAAACATGTAACACCCCACCACCTACCCCCACCACATCTACGCCCACAACATCATAACTCAATCAAAACGAAGACAGCACACACACACATACCCAGCAGGCCCAGCAGTATAACACACGCAGTCACAGGAGCAAGACACAACATAAAGCACAGTGAGTATTAAAAATTATAATACCACAAGTAATAAATAAAATACAGAACACGGTATTAATGAATAACAAATTCACGTTACAGATACACACATGAAAATAGAAAGAGTGCTCTGACAGAAGAGGATAGATGTGACTCGAGTAGTGAGATACAACGTAGGAAAAATCCTGAACAATTTTAATATTTGTAATATTTGATATTTATCAATATATATGATAAATATATATTTTAATTATTTTAATATGAAGACGACAAGGCATGCAGTGAACTAGTTTAACATTAATCGAATAAGCACCTGAAGATGGCACTTTTGTGCTGAAACATGTAGTGCGAGAGAGAGGAGTGAGATAGATAAGCGTATGCACTAGAAGACGGTGAAATAAATCATGGATGTAACAGTTGGTTTAATATAACTATTAGACTACATGTTTCTGTCAGGAGATCATCTCCTGGTGTATGTAAATAAATGAAGGAATAAATGTAACATGTTACTGCAGAATTGAATTGGTAAATGGAGTCATTTTCCAAATGTCATGAAATTTTTTGAGAGTTTGCATAAATGTAAATAATGAAATTATTGTTGAATATAAAATAAAATAAACATGGATAGTCGTAGTTGTGTGGAATGTTATATTAATTTTATAGAGGGGAAAGGAGGTGATATGTGGTTGTTTTCATGTGATTCTTCTTAAACTTTCATATCTAATGCTTGCATTCCACTTTTGTCTGAGTGTTCACACTTCAGCAGTGTACATCAGTATTTATTTGTATTCCTGTCTCCATGGATTGAGAACAGACGTGTCTTAGTTGCACAGAGAGTAGACTGGGGATGGAAGACCAGAAAGACCAGAAAGATGAGGTTTGATTCCCAGCAATGGCAGAGGTTTATGTCTCCACCACTATGCCCAGACCAACTCTGGGGCCCACCCAGCCTCGTATCAAATAAGTATCAAGCACTTCTACCCCCGGGCTTAAAGGTGCTAACATTAAAAATATGTGGAGCTGTACCTCCACTCCCTCATACCAATTCACGGCATGGTGATTGATTAAGCAGAGGTACAAAGCACCTTTACTTTATTCCTGTGGAGTAACATTAGTTAGAACAACAGTGCTGAGACTGAGAAACCTGTATTGAAATTTGAGTTTAATTTGAGTTAAAATTTGAAGTCTGAGGCTGCTAGTAATACTGAGTAAAGGTATGGCATGTTGATTTCTCTCCAGGAGCTCTGTTGCCAGAGATGGGAAGGAGTAGTTCCCTCATGATTTGTCTCTCTTGTCAGATCTTGGGCCAAGATGCATCCCAGTCTGATGAGTCCATTAGCAACCAGGCCTTTTTGATGAGGCTTGCTCAGATGCTTCTCCACCACCTGGCCCCCTTACTTCTGTCCCCCTACATTATCGAGGCCTGCTTTGTGCCGCTCCTCGAGAGTCTCTGTAAAGTCACATCAGTGTCTGGGCTGTCCATGAACGAAACTCCAGATGGCAAGAAGCATCGACTAATGCTCTTTCTGGACATGATGTTTGCATTTCTAGAGGTGAGTTCATTTATTATTTATTTATTCTTAATTTATTTAACAGTGCTTTTCAATTTTGAAGGTTATGTAGTGTCAAATCTTGCTGCTGTGGCTCACTCAGTAGCCACCTGGAGGGCAGAAAACTCTTTATTGGACCAAGACATAATTGAAAGCTCATATCTCATCTTGTTTCGCTGTAGATTTCTTTTTTATTGTGGCTTATTTCATAGTGGTCAGTGGCTCATGCTGTGTAGCACTGAATGACAGGATTTAATAAATAATGAATTAGAAATCATATGTTAAGAAGTGGTCGAGATTGAATTTGAGGTGCTGTCTCAGCATTTGACTATAGGGACAGAGGAATACCACAGAAACCTAGGTATAATTCATGTCATGGCTGAGATTTGAACTGGACACTTTCCAAATACAAGTCAGATGCATTACTGCTTGAGCCAACCTGCCTGGTGTATTTCATTGTAGATGTTAATACATGACTTCCTGATAGCTGCTGTATCTCGTGGAGGTGAACAGGGAAAAGAAAGAGAAGATTTGTAGAAGACAAATTCGGGTGGTTATGTGAGAGATTTTTCTAAACAGAGGGAGGGTTTCTCTGTGAGACATCATGATTATCTGGGATGTGATGCCGTGTAGTTTGGTAGTAATGTACCAATATTTTGGAGGAAGCTGCCATCTCTGTCCTCCGAATAGAAGAGCAGGATCTGCCACACTCCAGTCACATCCCAGAAGACCATAATCTTAGCACTCATAATTAGATATGTTGAAAGATCGTTGAATATTTGAGCAGAATCTGCATATAGATTGCACACTAATGCTAGTTTGTGTTTGTTGGCTGGTACAGGTGTCTGTAAGAAGAAAGTATCAACTTTTTGATGGTGATGTAACATTCTTGAAGTTGTGTTGCAGGAGCATGAGCTGAAGAAATCCCTGGAGGGTATCATCGTTTGTTTGCTGACTAGGTTCCGACAGGTGTCCTCCTCCCTTGAGTATAGACAACAGAAACAGAGCCTTCTGCTCCTCACATGTCTTGTGCAACACACTCGAACCAGGCATCACCTACTTGAGAAGATCCTTTTTGGCGTAGTTAGGTAACTGTCAATTTGTGTGTCCAGTGGAACCCTCATTTATTTTTCCTTAATTTACGGTTCTCTGTCATTTGTTGCTTATTTTCAGTTATTTTAAGAAAGTAATTGGAGTGTTAAGTTACTTGTGGGGGCACATGGTAGTGTAGTTGGTTGAGGCACTGTGCTACAAGCTGAAAGTTCATGCGTTCAATTCCCAATCAGGTAATTGGATCTTATCAAGTGACCTAATCCTTCTAGCCGCACTAGGCCCTGGGGTTGACTCAGCCTCTAACAGAAATGAGTACCAGGAATTAATTAAATAATTTTCCTGGGGAGCATAGCTTGGCTGGAGCATAAGGCTGACATCCTTACCGCCATCTTTGAGCCGATTGTCTAGATAATGTGGGACCCTCAACGTCTCACAACCCTATGGGCCTTCACGGCCTGTTACAGGGATAGCTTTACTTTTACTAGTAATTATATTTCCCCAATTTTTGGCTATCACAACACAGTAGTATCCTGTAGTTTAAGTAGCCTCTCACACAAAAGTCTTGTATTCTCTGAAACCTTGTTAACAGATATTGTGAGGCAAGCCAGAGTAAGCACACTTATCTGTGTACTCTATTCCTATTTAGACTTTATTATCTTCTTGTTAGTAAAATGTGTTCTTAGGGTCAAGTCACCTCAGTCTTTTAAGTAGCGTGCTGTACATGGGAGATGCAGACGTAAATCTTCATGCATTCTAAAATTTGGCCTTATTGGTGAATGATCAGGTTCATGCCCCATAAATTTTAACCCCAGGAACAGAGCCTGTCATAGATATCAGAGTCCATTCCCAGCAACACAATGGGGTAACACCACATCTATAGTAATATCCAAACTACATCACCAATAAGAAAGCAGGGAAACAGCAACATCAGCCCAAAATACTCATGAAACAATTTCATATAGGACAACAAATGACCAACAAGTTAAATACAAAAACCAGGAAACACCAACTTCAATTAAAAGCTTATGAAAAGCACTTCAGTATCACTCACTCGTGGAGCTGAGCCCTTCTTGAGAAGCAACCAATTGTGCAGCTACTCGAGAACTTCCCAGCATTTTTTGTGACCTGAAAGTTCATTACCATGTTCACTTGAGCCCTCCACGGGTCTCTGTCCTGAGCCAGATTGATCCAGTCCATACCATCCCATCCTATAAGATCCATTTTAATATTGTCCAGCCACCTATGTCTTGTTCTTAGAGGTCTGGGGTCCGCCCAGCTTTGTGTCCAATGGGTACTGGGGCTCTTTCCCCGGGGGTAAAGTGACCAGTGCGTGAAGCTGACCATTCGCCTCCAACTAGTGCCTAGGTCAAGAAATCATGAATCTGTACGTCCACTCCATCTTCATGGGGTAATGCTTAATTAGTTAAGCACAGGGACAACTTTACTATTTACTTATAAGCTGTGACCATGTCCTTGAACATATTGCACAGGGACAACTGTACTTTTTACCTATAAGCTGTGACCATGTCCTTGAACATATTGCACTACTGCCTGTTGTTTGCTGCATCACATGCCTCTAACTTTGTTTGTGCTTTCAGGTTTAACAGCTTTCTTCATGTGAAGCCTGTGGATGGGAGCTGCGTGGCAGACGTGGCTCATGTCTGGTGGGACAGCAACAGTGTAGACCAGACAGTGGAACAGAATAAGGCTGCTTATTTTGTGGCGTGTCAGAAAATCCAGGAAGCCGTAGCAAGTAAATGAGATGCAGCAGGAATGAAATGACTTGTATATATGTTCTGTCTCTATTGTTTGAATTCTGTTGTGTATTATTATACAGCCGTCAGCACAACAAATTATTATGTAGTAAAACGAATGAAAATATAATAACATTCGTTATTTATTACAAATCTGTTGTGCTGATGATTGTGTAGTAATACTGTATGTATATATATGTGTGTGTGTGTGTGTGTGCATTTATCTACAGATTATCCTTGATAATGAGAAATCATGAAATTTGTAAACATCCTTGCTCTATTCATAATATTTGAAAATTATTGGAAAACGTAATCTTCAAGGAGATGCAACAAAGCAAGAACTTGAGTGCTCTCTGTTGGGAAGCGAGAGGCAAACTGGGTTAAATGATTCCAAATGCAGCCATTGGAAACAAACCAACCAACCAACCAACCAACCTAATCTTCAAATCCATCTCCTATGTTCTAATTCTGTATATCAATATGGCACTAAGGTTTAAAAGGTTGTTGTAAGTACAACACTACAGTAAAACACATTATTACGCACGTCAGAAGACAGGTTAAAGACCCCCATTATCATCAACCTGCATTATTTAGGGAAATTTCATGAGAAATAATTTCTTTAACGTGACATTTTTTGAGTATCTGTTAATTCATAAGTACCTTTTCTGTGCCTAGAACATATCAGTTCTGTTGTGTGCGTTGTCTGAACCAGGTGTGGAAGCCCTGCAGGTGGAACTGTTGAAAATCCTCCTGGACAACTCTGATGGTACCCCCATGCAAGCATCATCCAGGAAGATATTTCTGCGTAACTTCCGTGAATTTCTGCATGAAAATGTCCTATCTAATCCGGTTAGTTACTAGTCACCGTCACTTAACAATTTCAGTGATGAGTTTTATAATAATCTTCCTTCTCTTGTTTCTTTGGATTATCTGTTGTTGTTCTCATTTAACATGCCCTCCTTAATTTGTTAGGAATAATAATCATATATATTTATTATTGCTAGTGGGGTGGGACTAAGTCCCTTGAACTGCAGCCACTTCTGGCCTATTGTACCAGCCCCAGATGATAGGTGAGGGTGATTGTGGAGCAATTGGTGGAATGAAGATTGGCAGGGGAAACCGAAGTACTCGGAGAAAACCTGCCCCAGAGCCACTTTGTCCACCACAAATCCCACTTGACCAGACACCAGGATCGAACCCAGGCCGCCGCGGTGGGAAGCCAGCGACTAACCGCTTGAGCTATGGCGCGGCTTTTAATCATATGTTATAATATTTTCTGTTTGTCCCCTCCCCTTCACAGTTGGTAGACATGTGTAATGCTTTGGACTGTGGTACAGCTGATGTATGTTTGCTGAGATTTGGAGGCCATGGCAGGGTATGTCGGTGACATGGCTACAGTGATGAATAGTCGTTACACAGATGCCCGATTTATATCATTTTACGAATAACGCTAATCAAGCATAGTCACATAGTACTATTGCTTCTACAGCTTTGGCACTAACTACATAACTCAGCAACGTGCTCAGTGGAGCAGAGTCTTCATTAAGAAGTTGACAGTTATGTAGCTACTCAAGAATATGTCAGCCTTTTATAGAACCTGAAGCCTGTTGTTGGCTCCTATCCCTGGTCATATGAATCCAGTCCACTCTGTCCTACTCTGTTTCTTTAAAATATGTTCGAAGCTGGGATAGCTCAGTTGCTGTAGTGATGATGGGCTGGGGGCTGGACAGCAAGGGCTTTATTCCTGGCAGGGGCAAGAGGTCTTTCCCTTCACCACAGTGTCAAGACTGGCTCTATAGCTCACCCATCTTTCTATCTAGTGTGTGTCAGGGGTAAAATGGGTTGGGCATGAAGCTGACCACTCACCTCCATCTAGTGTCGAGGTCAAGGAGGGTGGCACTATATCTGCACTCCCCCAGGCATCTTCATGACATGGTGCTTATTTAACTAAGCACAGAGATACATTTATCTCTCATGTATGTCTGCATCTTCAAGTTCTGTCTCCTCTTCATGTTCTCCAGTTGAAGTTCTATATATTTTTAAGACCCACCTCTTATACATTCATTCATTAATTCTATATATTTTTTGTGTCTGTCCTGTTTTTGCCTTGCAAGTTTGAGACCCTGTGTAACATTTTGTAACATGGCTGATATTTAACAGAGAAGTTTTCGGTCCCTTGCCAATATCACACTTCTCTGTCAGATCCAGTTGCTTCTTAAAGTTTTCATATTCATTATCCTGGAAATTGAATGTAGTCACAGCTTCTGCCTGTGAAAATTTTCACTGAAACAGATCACTAAACTTTACAATTACTTACTTTTACTTACATTTAGCTTTACCTAATACATTAAAGCATTTGAAGGACATCTGGCACCATATAAATTCTTCCCAACATCTCTTTGTTTCATATCTCGTGGTTTTAAATAATTTCAGACTCAACGCCCAGTAACACTTTGCTGTATTTATCGTCTACTCGTTACCTTCCAAGCTCTGTGGGAGTGTGAGGTGGGGGAATACCCGATTGTGATCCCAGCACGAACATTTTATGATGGTTCAGTTAACTACTACAACATTGACCGTCTGGGTGGTGTGCTGTCACATCTTAACAGGACTCTAAGGGTCCAACTCATGCAAGTGCTAGGGGCAGATCACCCTGTCATCACCACCGTGGAGCTACCAAGAAGCCTTATGCGGGACTTAGGTACGCTTCATACATTTCTTTAGTGTTCATAGTTCTTGCAACTGAAATGTACACCTTAAATATTGATTTTTTACAAATCAGCTGAACTTTAAATTGAGCTGAACCAGCAACTGAAAAAGCTTTGATTTCTGGGTTATAAATTGATTTATTTCAAGAATATTTGAGGCACTTCAACTGAACTATAGTTCCTGATTGATAAGCTGTTAGTGGAACCCCTTGTGCTGTGTTCCATTCTTACTGACTGAGCCTGATGGCCGGAAACATCAGTTTTTTCTAAGCTGCCACAGTCATTGAAGAAGAAACTTGTGAAAAAATTTGTAGTGAGTTACTGTACCACTTGGATATTGACAGAATTACCAGCATGGCTCATATTCAAGATTTTGGCCTCTGTGCAGTTTGTTAAGTACTTACCATAATTTTGTATGAACATGTTGCCACTGCCTTGAGGGTCTACCATAAAGTTAGGAGCAGCAGTTTACTCCAAAACATTTGTACTTAGAAACCCCATTGCGTCATGACTCAGAATGCCAGAAGAACATAAAATCTTGTGTTAAATTTCTGTGACTTGAAGGAAATTGGTAGAACCATTTCTGTATCCAGGATGAAAGTATATACAGAACTAGTAATAATCCTGTATTCTTCTGTTTGAAACGACGGTGCCAGATGCAGTGACAGCATGAGGAAGGGATAATTTGAATGTGTTAGAGGTAGCGAAGCTAATGCAACGATTATCTGAGATCCATGAATAAGCGTGAGTGTACAGCCTCATGATCCCTGTGCTGTCTTGCATATTGACACAGCAGCAATTATTATCATCTGCATTGTTTGTAGATAATGCTCTTGTGGGATTCTTGCTAGAGGGAGAAGAAAAATGTGTGTCTCTGGATGCTGCAGCCTCTCTCGTTGAACTTCTGGATGGAGTGATTCTGTTGTATTATGTGGAAGCCCATAGACACCTTAGCAAGGTACAGTTCATAATTGGCATTTAAATGCTCAGGTTTTGTTGGATGCTTTTTGTGTCATTTAAAGACATGCTAACATTTATGTTGAAGGCTCATAGCCACATTACTTACCACTGCAAATGTTTGGAGAGTCCTTGTACTTATGCAATTCTGGCATAACTGCTGTGAAGGAACGGACTGTACATTCAAAGCCCACAATGTGGTAAGAGGCAGAAGGAAGTCAGAAGAAAGAGGGGAAGGAAATGATGGTTCCTTAACGGGCATTTTTGGGTGCTACATCCAAGAAGACAGTAATCTTAATAATCACTGCCATGAAAACGTCAGATTATACTTAATAACGACATTTTTCCACCCAGATTCTAAATTTCCTTCACAATATGTTCCTTAGATTGTAAAAAGTTCTGGCAGTGGTATATAATACTCATAATTACTGGGTTTTTGGACTTCCTTCATCGTCTGGTATTCTAGAAGCTAGAAAACACGTTTCGAAAACTGGGTCTGTTTCTATGCTCAGAGTCCAAAAATTCAATTCTGGATATGTTCCTTCTCTTGCCAGAGATTCAAGTTTCGGAATGAGGTTCTCATGGCAGTGGCTATCTTGCTTGCTTTACTTTTTAAACCTTGAAGATGGAGGCAATATGTTCCTCCAAAAGATCAGATGGTCTCTGAACCACATGGCATTACAAACCAGATCCCTACTCTTTGTAGGGTTTGAGGTTCTCACAACTGCGATTATGAACAATTCTCTCTTGGTTTATAATAGTGTTTAGTCTGGTGGAAGCCAGCTGACGTTTCAGAGGAACATGTCACCTCCATCTTGAGGGTCGACGATTAAGCCAAGCAAGAAACCGGCATGAAGCAGGCAGCAAGCAGAGGCTGTCCTTGCTACACAGAGTTATATCGCAGGAGACAGAACTCAACTATAGTCTTCATTTAGATTTTTTCGGAAGTCACATATCGGTTGCCACTATGTTCACACTGTTTGTGGGGCCCATCCAGCCTCCTACATGTTAGGTACCAGCAGCTTATACAGTAGATATGTTGTATGTGCAGGTGAGCACTCTGTGTAAAAGTATGGGTGAATACGTTACCGCTCTAGGTACTGTCACGGCAAGATTGGAGACATACAAGCGCCACTCTCTTGACATGCCACCTGAAATTATACAAGAGCTGGAGAAATCTTGTTGTGTGTTCAGGCAGAAGTTGAGTGAGCAGGCCCGACACATGGCATGGGTAAGTGATTTTATGAAACCATTTTTCAGGAGTGTTTTTTTTTTTTAATGTTTATTATGATGAGGTGATTGGAAGGGTTTGTTTACCTTAAGATGGTGGTCTTCTAGGGTGCCACACCTTCAAACTTCCTAGATAGGGGCCAGTGTTTTCAGTGAACATGCCATCAGAATTTTCTGACCTGAAGATGGAGTCACTAGGTTCCTCCAAAACGTTGATGCCTGTATACCACGTTACTAATTATCTGAGCATTCATTACTGTGAGAATCTTGAATCTCTTTATGTTTGTGTCCTTGCTTGGGGACACTTATTTGAATTGTGTTGTTTAGTGTTACTTGAGTTTTCTGTATTTTAATTTATTTGTGTCTCATTTCATTTTACCCCATTTTCTATTACTTCTTTCCATACTTTGTTTTGTGTATTTTATTTAATAGTGCTATTTTTTACTTGTTACTACATTTTCATTTAATTTGTTTTGTTTTGCTCTACCATTTTCTATTTATTTTGTTTTATTTCATTTTAAAGTGAAGTTATATGACATATTTTATGTTGCATGTTATTAAACATTTTATTTTACTGAAACTAATGTACATTTTATATATTTATTTTATAGAAGTATTTTTATGTTTTACATTGTTATTTTGTTTTATTGTATAATATTAAGTCAGTCAGTTTATTCAACATATTGTGTGAACAGCAGTTTCTCCATCCTTTCCCATGTTACTATGCTCTTTGACAATTTTAGCTCATAATTAAGATATTACAACTGTAGTTTCTCTGTGACTGTTTCATTTTGTCACCAGGTCCGTGCTGTTGTATGCTCAGATGACAAACAGAGTCAGCTGGCGTGGCTGTTGCGAGTGGTCCTACACACTGTGAAGCAGGCCTCGCAAGAAGGACAACTGTTTGCATATGTACCCATTTTTTACTTACACTCACTTATTGAAATATGTGCTGCCCTTCGCACCTATATACATCCAGCGGCCCCTCTAGAAAATGTACAAGGTACTATGTTGCCACTGTATATTTGTGTGTTTCTGTATGTGTGTACACATGTGCACACATGCAACTGTGAGTGGGTATATATGGGTATGTAAACATTTTAGGATGAGATGAGTTGAACATGTAAGTTGACATTTCTTGTATGTGCTTTGCCATTATGACAACAATGTAAGTTAAGTTTCATGTGTGATGTCTGTTGCAGGTTATGAAGATTTGCTTATTGAGGTGTCTCAGTTCCTTTGTGACCATTTCTCCGATCCAAGGATTGTACATACCGGTTCCAAAGATGCATTGATACAAGCATTGGCCAGTTTCATTTGTAGTCCAAACACTCTGCTATCTTTAGAGAGTGTTCCATATACCAGGTGGGCATGCTACATGAAACTAGGGATTCTTCACTGTAATTGTGCAAGAATATTAAATGAATGCATCCTTTGACCTTGATGAAGGAGTTAGCAGGTTCCTCTGAAATAAAAAAAAAAACTCCATGGTCTTAGTCCACAAGCGAACTATACCGACCGAAATGTTGGTAGTGTTTTTATTTCTTGCCATGGTACTTGCCCAAAATATGACACAGTTGTCCCATTTTAAAGTAAATAATTTTAGTCTGAAGTCAAGTCACAACAGTAGCTCAAGTATTCACAATGACAGAGGTCAGATGCCTGCTTAAATTGGCACAACAATGAATGTGTTAAAAATTAGAACTTGCTGTGTAACATTGTGATTACAGCCGCATGACTATGGTTCGGGCATTGCTTCGTCCATATGAGAGCCGGGCTTGGGCACAGAGCAACTGGGTTCTAGTCAGAATTTGGCAAGGCTGTGGATTTGCCTTCCGGTACCACAAATCTCCACACCTTCTCAAGAAACATGGCCCCAGACCGCTTCAGGCGGACTCCAGTCTCATCAGCCAGTCCATACGTACGTGTTGTTGCATTAATCGAGTGACCCAGTCCATCACTGTGTGAATTCTGTCAGAGATTTTCATTGGTATCTGTTTTTTCCTACCCTTCTGACAAATTCAGCAGTTAAGGTAAAAGTACAAATTTGGGTCAGATTGTGGTTCTCACGGCGATGATTATGAAGATTGTGGTCCTCTGGAATGTGATGTCATGTGGTGCAATAGAAGGTATTTACATTTTGGGGGTCCTGCTACCTCCATCTTTAAGGTATATAGTGTCACATCCCAGAAGGCTGTTTCATAAACATTTATGTTCAAATTTTCTTTCTCACCATGTAGAAGATGTTTCTGTCTACTATAGGATTCTGACAGTGGTGTATAACACATTGAGATATTGGGTTTTCAGATTTTATCCACTGTCCTGCTTTTAAGATAACTAAGAAAAACACGATGTTTCGGAAACTGGATCTGTTTCCATCCTCAGGTGAGGGAAAACACCTATTCTGTG